TGCTATTTTTAGACATGACACATTCGACCCGTGTGTCAGTAGTTATTTTTAGCTTCCAATAACCATTACTACGGTACTGTTTATCTTTTTTTTTTTAGATTACTTATATCTCCACAGGCACACAACTGTAATATATAGTTTATATAAATAGATTCCTAGGTTGTTAGTGTCGACTTCATAGTTTGTTATAGTTAATGGTGTCTGAATGATTAATAGTTTACATAAGAAACGCCAGCCCAGTTGTAAAATAAACATAATTTATATTCTCTCAAAATTTAGCGCCCATTTTAAGCAAAGACCGGGGCTTGAGATTTGTGATTGTAACAAATTTTATTTTTGTATTTCCCCACACTTCCATGTTTTGCTAAACTAGACAATCGCCAAACTACGGGACTGCTGAAAAGTTTTTAATTCAATTGTCACCCACCTCTGCTTGTCTTTGGTTGTTCTTGGGTATACTCCCCACCTCATATTGACATTGGACAAAAGGGTATTTCTTCCAGCGCTGCGGCGTGTTTATGTTTTCCTACCTGATGATTCATAGGGAAAATCTCAGGGCTGTTTTGAAAACGTCTAATATTGTAGTATAGTAAAACGAGCTGCATGTATTTAAAGTATTTATCTTTAGTCAACGAGACTTTGGAGACTGATGCACATAAGTCAATCATTAGTCATTTAGTTGGTCTTTATGTATATGTGTACTTATTTTACGTATGTCCTAGTCTTTTGTATATACGTTGGTCTGTATGTATGGCTCTAGTTATGGTCCATACGTCCTAGTCACTAGTCCATTAGTTGGTCTGTATGTAGTTATGGTACTAGTTTTGGTCCATACGTTAGTCTCTGTCTATGGGTGTATTTATCGTACATATGTCCTACTCTTAAGTCCATTGTTTGGTCTGTTTGTATGTAGTTATGGTACATAACATACGCCCTAGTCTTTAGTCTATTAGTTTTCTATATGTGTATGTGTAGTTATGGTACATACGTCCTAGTCTTTAGTCAATTCGTTGGTCTGTTTGTATGTGTATAGTTATGTTACATGCGTCGTAGCCTTTAGTCTATTAGTTGGTCTGTATGTATGTGTGTAGTTATGGTATGTATGTGTGTTATTATGGTACACACGTCCTAGTCTTTAGTCCATTGTTGGTCTGTATGTATGTATGTGTGTGTAGCTACGGTACATACGTCATAGTCTTTGGTATTTTCGTTGGTCTGTATGTATGTGTGTAGTTTGATATTATGTGTGTAGTTACTGTACACACGTCTTTGTCTTTGAACCATTATGTCTCAGCAACTATTGTTGTTAAGTCCTTGTCTTTAGTCCAGTACCTGTCATGTAGAGGCCTGACCCAGACGCCGGTCTACCATTCAGTAGTTAAGTCTTCTGGTACCTGTCCTGTAGAGTGTAGACAACTGACACAGACGGCGGTCTACCATTCAGTAGTTAAGTCTTCTGGTGCCTGTCCTGTAGACCATTCCTGACACAGACGGCGGTCTACCATTCAGTAGTTAAGTCTTCTGGTGCCTGTGACACGCTCATTGAACAACCCCGCTTGTTGCCGTGAGTGAGTACTTCCTGTGTCTACACACTGGTTGCGTTGTCGTTGTCACACTCCACTTGACGAAGGGAATGGCTCTCACCTCACACTTCGATTTCTGTACAGTGACGTGTATTTTTAGCAGAGGTGAACGCCCTAATAGGCGAGTTCGTGCCGAGATTATACCCAATCAATGAGACGATTACATAAAAAAAAATGATACTACACACAAAGATATGCTTTTTGTTAAGAATTGAATAAAGTGATTGTTTTTTGTTAAGTTTGTGAAATGGGCTGTATATGAGAGTCTGGTAAGAGTGTACATGGGCGGGTTTATGTAAACATTCAAAACAAAACATTGTTGTATCGAGGTTTTGTAATTAGGATCATGGTTTGTGTTAGGTTAGTTGTCAGGGCTAGGATTAGATTTAGGTTAGGGGAGTAGATTTTCTAAAACTAAAGGCGTTTAATAAGTTCCGTCGACATCCTCAAGTAGTGTTCTTACACGCATGGTTTCTTCAGACATTTTTCGTATGTGTGGAAGGGGGGGGGGGGGGGAGTGGAGACGACGACACTGGTTAAGTAAAGATTAGCTATGTAGTTTTACTATTTCGTCCAGGGCAATGCGATGGACATGCTCTGGGGAAGGGGGGGGGGGGAGAGTTCTGTTGGGTAGATATTGGAGGAATGCAGATGCTTAAAGGAACACTAGAGCGATAGCCATCTCTTTTTCCTGGAGTCCAACCTATTATGAACTATCAACTCTTTGAATACAGGCGTCATTAAACTACAGGCGTCATTACACTACAGGCATCATTATTCTACACGCATCGTTACATTACAGTCATCGTTACTCTACAGGCGTCATTTCATTACAGGCGTCATTTCATTACAGGCGTCATTTCATTACAGGAGTCATTATACTACAGGCATCATTATTCTACACGCATCGTTACATTACAGTCATCGTTACTCTACAAGCGTCATTTCATTACAGGCGTCATTCGGCCTACACGACAGGCGTCATTACACTACATGCATCATTACTTTACGAGTATCATTACTTTTCAGGCGTCTTTATACTACAGACGTCATTGCTCTACACGCGTCATTACTTTACTGGCGACATTACATTGCAGGCATCATTACACTACAGGCGTCACTACACTACATGCATCATTACACTACAGACGTCATTACTCTACAGGCGTCATAACACCTCAGGGGTCATTACTTTTCAAGCGTCATTACACTACAGGCGTCATTACATTTCAAGCGTCATTATACTACTCGCATCATTACACAACAGGCGTCATTATTTTACAGGCATCATGTCACTACAGGCATCATTACTTTACAGGCGTCATTACTTTAGAGGCGTCATTACTGGACGCCTGACTGCGTTCATTAAATTAAGTACTTCATCTACAACAGCTTAAGTCGCTCTGTGCGCGAGGCGGGCGCCACCACAGCTACACGGAATTGGCGAATTTTCCGAAGCCCCCCACCAACCGCTAGAGAATTGACGGACGTAATAAGATCGCTTGGTTGAAACTATCGATGATGAAAGCGCTGGTTATTTTTGGCTTTCCCATGACAGCGCATGTGCGGTATTAAACTCCATTTCGGTGGAGCTATCGTGGCGTGTATTCTCAGGGGGGAGCACCCAGTCCTGGTTACCAGCTATTACACCCCGACTCTCTCCCTTAGTCTTCCTTAATAATCTTATTTCTTTTCCTTGCTTAAAGTGAGATAGACCATATAATCTACCCATGATGTTCCTTAATTTTTATATCAGACTTTATTTCTGTTATACTTATGAACAAAGCAGCCTCGTACTTTTGTTTTAATGACTCCTACTTCTTACCTCCCTTGCTTAACAGTAGCCAGATCAAACGCCTTTTGTATTGCCATTTTTTTTTCTTGATATTCATTTGTTAAAGGAAAAAAAAATATTACTATGGCTTATTATATTTTCTGGTTCTCAAACAACGTTTTATAACTGGTTCAGTGACATTCCTGCACCCTGGCCCTGCCTTTTGGTGTTGAATAATCCTACCCTAGCTAATGCTGACATGCTGCCTCATATGAAAATACTCAGCTTTGTCTAATTTTGGGAATAAAGCAGGGTGGCTTATGCACACGTCCTTCTTTTGTAACAGAATCTTGTTAGATGTTCATGATCACGTATCACTTGTATCACGTTCAATAAATATGAGTCCCTCATACTTTTTAGGGTGATGTTAATATTTTATCCATGTGTGGTTTATGGGGTGAATGCTAGTCAAGGAAGGGGGGGGGGGGGGGGACACACAAAGGTTCATCCACTTGTGTCCTGGCTCAAACTCAAAGATCTAAACTTTAACAAAGATGAACATCTGATAAAGATCTAAACTTTAACAAAGATGAACATCTCATAAAGATCTAAACTTTAACATAGATGAACATCTCATAAAGATCTACACTTTAAAATAGATGGACATCCCACAAAGATGTAGGCTCTAACACTAAGACACTCATGTAATTTCTTGGTAAAAGCATGAGAACCACTTGATACACTACTTCCTATTTTGTTACTGTGGCCTATAGTTTTTTTTGTATCAGGACTTAAGCTTATGGTGACTGTAAACAAAGGGTTTTGTTGTTAGCTTCTTCCTGTCAGAGTTGATTAAAAAGATGAACTTGAACTCACACTAAAGAAAGTCTGTAGGTTCTTGCTGTTCAGATATAGCATACCTTACTGTACATAGTAGATTGGTTTCTTTTTTCTCAAGCTAAGTCCCTGCCTAATCTTGTAAACAAGTGTGTCTTGCGGGGGTATTCATCAACAACCCTCTTGACTGATTAACATTTTCTTCTGTATATTGAAACTTAAGTCACAATATTGTTTGCAAAAATTATTTGTGAAATTGTGCTGTATAAGACTGTCCTACAATTTCTTATAAATTCATCAATTGGTGTGAAATATAAAATTTTATTTCTTGTCTCTATATAATCAAGTGAATATTTTTTGGTAATGCAGACCCCTAGTTTTCTATCTTTTTTTTTTTAAACGGGAAGTATTAATCACATTTTTTAGGGTAACAGTCACAAATTTAGCATCACGTGTGTTAATCACAGTCCAGCTATAAATAGACTAGAATATTGCTCACTGCTATTATTAGAAGTGCTTATTTTTACAATCCACTTTGAAATCCACTTAATATCAGTCTGATTTTTTTTCTCCAATTAATATCTAGTTACAGACTTAGCTTGCTATTTCAGTGTTGTATTTCTGTGTAGCAGATTTATATATATATATATACATTTAACAACTTATGATCATATCCTCAAATGTAAATTAGAATTAGGCCTATATATGTAATTTAATATATAATATAAATGTAATTTATCATGTAATATATATTGTAGTATTCTATTTATGTGTGTGATTACATATACCCATATTATATTTTTCAGTCCATTTTTTGGTGCAGAGTTTCAAGGTGAAATCCCCAAAAAGTTCAGATTTCTGTCATTTTATTTGTATGAAGTAGGCAGCAAGACAAGCAAGGTTATCTTGTTTTTATTGTTTCATCTATTTTTAAACAGTTACTCTTACACATTACAATATTTGAACCAATCAGATCTTACCTTTGTATTGACAATAGCAACTAAATATTTAGTATCTGTAAAATAATCAGTAGTTTTTTTTCCAAGTTTTTCTTTAGTTAAAATTCATCATGATTACATAAGGAGAATTAATTGTGAATACTTAATTAAATTTATTGTTTGCTCAACAACAAAGGGTCATCCATTTATGACGTCCACAATTTGTTTGGGATTTGGGACCCCCCCCCCCCCCCACACACACACACAAAAATCCACTTATTTCCCTTGTAAAAGTCTGGGTCTGCAAAAGTCAATTTTTTCGGACCCCCCCCCCCCCCCTCCAGTGTGGACGTCATAAATGGATGTCCCCTAACGAGGTTGATGTGTATATTGTACAGGTTATAGGTAAAGTATCACTGAAGAAGGAGGAGCTGTACAAGTATCACCAAAAAGACCACTGGTTTCCCCTGACTTACAAAGATGGGGACACAGAAGTTCAGGGCAAAGTTCAAGTGGAGATCAAAATGGAAGAGTTCCTTACAGCCTCATCGGAGACTTCACACAGGCTGGCTGTTAGGTTGGTCCATAGCACAATCATTCACCTTAAACTAGATTATTAGAGATTGTGATTGTTAAAGTTTTTAAATTGATACCTTAGTTTAGTAGTAGCTTTGGGGTACCTGGCTTAAATTTATAAATGACCATACTGAGCATGGTCAAATAAGGCAGATGAAGTAGAGTTCAGCTGTTTTTGTTACCTTCATATGTATTTTAAAAGTCCAGTTAGACAGCTTTATCTGATGGCGTGGCTTAGCAGTAGAGTGCTAGACAGCTAACCCAAAAGTCGTGAGTTCAAAGATGGGTTCAAGTCAGAATAATGTCCCTGAGTCCACCCAGCTCTGATGTGTACCTAACCGTGTACCCCCCACCCCCACTCCCCCCTCTTTTGTAGCTTTTGTAGCTTGTCTACCTCGCCTCCTTGATCGCATAAAAAAAATTATACAGAAAATATATGTTTGTCGGTTGTCCCTCCCCACCCCCACAAGAAAAATCTCTAAAAAGAACACTGAATTGTATTTAACTTGTTTAATTTGTTTTACTTTTTACAGAGTTATCAAATGAGTGACTTGACTGTAGTTAAAACTGTTCAACATTTTGTTTAACTTTCTCCAGGGTTATTGAATGCAGTGATTTGGCTTAGTTAACTTGTTTACATTTTGTTTAACTTTCTCCAGGGTTATTGAATGCAGTGATTTGACTGAGTTAACTTGTTTACATTTTAACTTTCTCCAGGGTTATAGAATGCATAGTGTTGTAGTTAACTTGTTTACATTTTAACTTTCTCCAGGGTTATAGAATGCAGTGATTTGACTGAGTTAACTTGTTTACATTTTAACTTTCTCCAGGGTTATAGAATGCATAGTGTTGTAGTTAACTTGTTTACATTTTAACTTTCTCCAGGGTTATAGAATGCATAGTGTTGTAGTTAACTTGTTTACATTTTAACTTTCTCCAGGGTTATCGAATGCAGTGATTTGACTGAGTTAACTTGTTTACATTTTAACATTCTCCAGGGTTATTGAATGCAGTGACTTGACTGAGTTAACTTGTTTACATTTTAACTTTCTCCAGGGTTATAGAATGCATAGTGTTGTAGTTAACTTGTTTACATTTTAACTTTCTCCAGGGTTATAGAATGCATAGTGTTGTAGTTAACTTGTTTACATTTTAACTTTCTCCAGGGTTATAGAATGCATAGTGTTGTAGTTAACTTGTTTACATTTTAACATTCTCCAGGGTTATTGAATGCAGTGACTTGACTGTAGTAAATGGCTCATGCAACCCCTATGCTGTTGTGGCCTTGCTCAATGGTAAATCTAAAAACAAGGATGTAAAAAAAACTGCTGTGAGAAAGAAAACAATCTGTCCCCAGTATGATGAAACATTTTTTTTTAATGTGAGTAGATAGGCGGTTTAATTTCTACTCTTTTTTTTTTGTGAGACCTGTTTTAAACTTCTGTACCCTTTTTATATCTGTGAACCCTTCTTTTAAAATTGCTTTAACTTTTCTAAACTTTTGCTGTTTAGTCTTATTTCTTTTTCTCTTTTGTATATGTCTGATGGGGTTCTTGGATAAATAATCTCAGACAAAACATCATAGACAAAATATCTAACATACTCAAGATCTGAGGACAAAATATCCCAGACAAAATATCTCACAGACAAATGATCTCACAGACAAATGATCTCAGGACAAAATATCCCAGACAAAATATCTAACATACTCAAGATCTGAGGACAAAAATATCCCAGGCACAATATCTAACATACTCAAGATCTGAGGTCAAAATATCCCAGACAAAATATCTAACATACTCAAGATCTGAGGACAAAATATCCCAGACAAAATATCTCACAGACAAATGATCTCAGGACAAAATATCCCAGACAAAATATCTAACATACTCAAGATCTGAGGACAAAATATCCCAGACAAAATATCTCACAGACAAATGATCTCAGGGACAAATGATCTCAGGACAAAATATCCCAGACAAAATATCTAACATACTCAAGATCTGAGGACAAAATATCCCAGACAAAATATCTCACAGACAAATGATCTCACAGACAAATGATCTCAGGACAAAATATCCCAGACAAAATATCTAACATACTCAAGATCTGAGGACAAAATATCCCAGACAAAATATCTCACAGACAAATGATCTCAGGACAGAATATCCCAGACAAAATATCTAACATACTCAAGATCTGAGGACAAAATATCCCAGACAAAATATCTCACAGACAAATGATCTCAGGACAAAATATCCAAGACAAAATATCTCATGACAGATGATCTCATGAACAAATTATCTCATTGACAAAAGATCATTTGTCCTGAGATAATTTGTTCTGTCACTCCCTGTTGTTTTTCGTTTTGCTAATTTTTGTTTACTCTCCTTTATGTTATCCTTTTTTCTTTCTGTTAACTTGTTTTTATGCTTGTTTACTATCTTTTTTTTTACATTCGTAAACAAAGTTCAGCGACAGACATGTTTTTTCCTAATGTGTCGTATTACAGAAATTGTTGCTTGTTTTTATTTGAATGTATGCCAATGATTACCTTCCTTAGTCTTTATTTTAACAGTTTGTCGTCATAATCCCATTAGGGATTGTCAGTTTTGTCATATCACAACTACAGCTGTTTTACAATGTGTTTTAGTGATGCTTCTTGTATAGGAATAAAATATACACCAGCTCAATTAATATAACAATTAATTTTTAAAACATACATCTCCTTTTCTTTAATTTATATTTACAGTTCTGCATCAAAATATTTTAAAATGTGAACATTGAATTTTTTTTTAACTTGATCATTGACTATGACTTATTGAATGTTTGTCATTGAAAAATGTACATGGAAAATATACAGAGCAATGACAGAAAAATTAAACCAGTGATTTGGTAAACATTTCACCTGCTGATATAAGGCCAGTTTATTCTAGCTTCACTACCCAACTATAATCCTAACCCTTCACTGAGCATAACAACAATGCAGGCAGAAAAAAAACCTCAGTGTATCAATGTGTTGTCCTGCCTGCAATTTTAAGAAACAATCATTTTCATTTGGTCTTAAACAACATACTCCACTCATTTTATCAATTTCAAGCTGTAATTAATTAGCTTAAAGGAGGGTGTAGTCAGACAGTAGAGTTTACATCTGCTAACCTTAATGTTTTGAGTCTCTTGAGTACCTGAGTCCACCTATATCTAATGAGTACCTGACTCATGTTAGGGAAACTTAGGCAGCTGGGCATAGTGTTGACCACACTATCCCCATATATGCCGAGGTTATTGTAACAGATGAGCTCTACTTCATCTGCCCCATGTGTCTCAGGCACGGTCGGGAAAAGATGAGATGATAATTAATTAGCTTATAATTGCAGCCACTGAATATTTAATGTCTGGCTTCATTGTGCCTGTCTGGTTGTGATTGTAACAGGTTAATATTTAACGTCGGGTGACATTCTGTGTGTATTGTTTGTTTTAGATTGATAAAGGACAGAACCAGGATAAAAGTTCCTATTCCGTGGATGACTCTCTGCCTGAAGAATTAAGGTAATGGCCAGATTGTCTGGCATTTATACACAATCTATTATCTAATGGATACTGCTGTTTTACCAGATTTTGATAACAGTCATTCTAGAATAAAGGTCCTTATGAATTTTTTATTCTATAATGCTATTATTGCTAATGTGATTGCTGCTAAAATACACTGTATTTCATTATAGATATTCAGTCTGATAATTGCTGTTGATAATTGCGGAAGTGTTCTATTACTTGCAAATAGAAATCAGTGAATTCTTGTAATAATTTTAAAAAAAAACCGTTTGTGTTTGACTACATGTGACTATAATTCTTTCAGTGTTTCGCTATTTCACGATGACTCTAAAGTATCCAGGGAGGTCTTAGGTTATATGTTTAAAGGCTCTTTCCTTGGAGAAGTTAAAATTCCATTATCGTTTGACGACATGTCTAGACCACACAGAGCATGGTGAGTTAAATTTTGATTGATCTACATTTTAAATTATTTTTTATTTTATTTTAAAAATATAACATTTAAAAAGTAATCAAAAATTATTTTTTTCTTACCGATATTTTTAAATTAAAGTTGTACCTTAAATTAAAAAAGGCTGGTTTGAATCCAAGTATCAATTTGTAAATGAGTAATGCCTTGTCTTGTAGGTATTGTCTCCAAGCAAAGGAACAAAACAGAACAAGTGACCAATCGCTGGGTTCGATTCGTCTAAAAATATCATACTCAGAAGATTATGTTTTCCCCTCCAAGTATTATGATGGATTAAGAAATCTTATTTTACAGTCTGCAGATACAAAAGTAAGATTTTGTTCATTTAACTAATTACTTTTTCTTTTACATTTTTGCATTATTTATCATTCGTTCCTCCTTGCACACCACCTCCCTAAGTTTAAGTAATTTATCTCCTTATATTTTACCTCCTTATAATTTTACCTAATTTTATAATTTTACCTCCTTATATTTTACCTCCTTATAATTTTACCTAATTTTATAATTTTACCTCCTTATATTTTACCCTCACCCAAATACTGGTTTAGGACATAATTACTAATTACTAATTGCCCCAAAACCTCATCCTAGCAATAAACCTAACTAAGGTAGTATTAGAGTGGAACGGAGTGGTCTAGCGGTGGAGAGCTGGACTGCTAACCCATAAGTCTCGGGTTCGAATCCGGGTCCAAGTCAGTAGACTGTCCCTGTGTCCACCCAACTCTGATGGGTACTTAACTGAGGTTAGGGAAAGTAAAGGCGGCTGGGCATTGTGCTGACCACACTATCTCTTCATATGCCGAGGTCACAGAAACAAGTGAACTCTACTTCACTTGCCCCATAGACCGTCAGGTTTGAAAGGGAAACTTTACTTTAAGGTAGTATTAGAGCTAGTGTTAGGATTTGGGTTAGGATTCGAGTTAGGGTTAGGGCTGTCTCAAGACTATGGGGTGTAATTACCTTAGTGGAAATTGATTTATTAGGTTATAGTAGAAGGGTACTGACTGGGTGAGAGGGATACTCATACTTCTATGTTGTAATCCCATATTTCCTCAAGCTTTTTCCCATGTCACCTTAACTAAGATGTATTTGAACCCCCAGCCCGTGACAGCCAGTGCAGCCTTTATACTGGGTGAAATAGTTACAGTCAAAGAATGTGCAGCACAGCCACTGGTCAAGCTCTTCCTCCACCATGGGAGGCTGGTACCCTTGGTGCATGCTCTAGCTGACTGGGAAATGTCCACCACCATGTGAGTTGAGTTCAACAGTTTTTATATTTTTTGACGAATTATTTTGGTTTTAAAAACCTGCTGGAGACAAGGAGGTCGGATGGTAGAGCTTATGACAGCTAACCTGAAAGTCTTTGCTTCGGATACCAGGCTCAAGTCTGTCAGACGTCACGTTAGGGAACCAACGGCGGTTCGGCAAAGTGTGGACCACACTATCCCCCTGTATGCTAAGTTTATTGTAAAAGATGAACTCTATTTCATCTGCCCCATGTGTCTTAGAGAAAAATGAGAAAAGATGATAAAGCACTTCTCAGTTTAGTGAAATATTCTAGTTTTTGTTTCAGTGATCCTAACACACTATTTCGAGGAAACAGTCTTCTTACAAAGATGGTGGATGAGCTGATGAAACTACTGGGGCTGCCTTATTTGCATGACACACTCAAATCTTTCATTGATAAGGTAAGGGCTTTGTGCATACTGGACTTGTTTATTTTATATGGTGGTGGCTAGTTTCTTTCAAAGGTATCTGGTTTTGTATATAAAGCTTCAGGATGAAAACCATTCCTATTCTGATTGGAATTTTAAAATACCATTAGTTATCTTACACTTTATATAAATCAGTTTTTGTGTAATTATTATGTACATCTCATTCTTCTAGTGTGATTGGTTAAGTATTGACACCATTCACTTTCACTATGATCTATGTTCCAGGTTTTAAGTGAATCCAAGCCTTGTGAGATTGACCCAAAGAGGTTGAAAGAAAGTGATGATGCACAAGCTAACTTGGTTAGTAAATTTATTTGTGTGTACCAAGCAGCTCCAGTGTATCAATGTTAGAGGGTGTTGTGTATGACCACTGTAGTGCTTGGAGGTACACTATGAGCAGGCTTTCATTTTTTTGACAGTTGAAATATGAAATATCAAGTAATATATTAGGTATCACTTCCTGTTATGAAGTTTTGTGTTACACTCAAGTCAAAAATGTTACTGATTCTGTGTGATGTTAGGTATCACTTTCTGGTCTGATGTTTTGTATCACACACGTGTGAAACATTTTGTTGATTCAGTCTGATGTTATGTATCACGTTCTATTAAGATGTTAACACCACTCTTGCATGAAACATTTTGTTGATTCTGTGCATCTCCAGAACAACCTGTACGAATATGTCAAGGAAGCGTTTGATAAAATCGTCAACTCTGGTTTGGTCTGTCCATCTGGCATGAGGGATGTGTTCTCCACACTCAAGTCTAGAGCTATGCTCAACTACCCAGGTAGGGATTAGAGATTAGTTTTATGATCAGAGCTATGTGAACTATCGAGGTAGAGATTAGTCATTAGTTTTATGATCAGAGCTATATGAACTATCGAGGTAGAGATTAGTCATTAGTTTTATGTGAACTACCATGCTCACTTAAAGCTATGCCCAACTACCCAGATACAGATTAGTCATTCGTACACTGTAAAGTAAAGTAAAGTTTCCCTTTCAAACCTGACGGTCTATGGGGCAAGTGAAGTAGAGTTCACTGTTAGTTACTAAAAATTGTTTTGTGAGTTTTCAAGATTTAAAATAATTTTTTAAATGTTATTTTTTCTTAATGAGGATAAAATCAACAAGGGTTAAACAGTTTTCTTCTTGGACGGCCTGGGTTAGAGGTAGAGCACTAGAATGCTAACCTGAAAGTCTCGAGTTCCGAATCTAGGTTTAACCCATTAGAACGTCCCTGAGTCCACCTAGCTCTGATGGGTACCTAACATACTTTAGGGAAAGTAAAGGCGTCTATGCATAATGCCGACCACACTATCCCTTCATACGCTGAAGTCATTGAAACAAGCTATCTCTACTTCACTTGCCCCACTGACCGTCAGATTAAAAAAGGGACATTTTTTTTACTTAACTTTTTTTAGGCAGCTGTAACACGAAATTGTATATTACATGCCAGTTGTAAATACTTGCGGATATTTGAGGATATTAGAGCATATTAATCGTATCCTTAAATTAGTTAACTTGATTATAGCGGTAGTTTGAGCAGTTTAAAATGTTTTCTCCAGATAATGCTGCTGTTCGTTACCACGCTGTGACCAGTTTTGTCTTCCTGAGGTTTTTCACAGCAGCCATCCTAGGTCCAGGCTTGTTTGAGCTGCACACAGAGACACCTGTAAGTCTGGGCCCTGGGGTCGGGGGGTTAAAGGTCACGCGTGAATCAGTACACTGAAATCTTAATGATTCAACTTTTTAATTTTATAATCATGTGCTATTTGCATTTTCAACTGGGAACGTTTTTGTTTTAAAAATTATCCGTTCACTAAATATAAATTGGTTCTATAATAGTAGGACAAAACAATATACAGAGGTATTTTGTTTTGCCAGCATCACTGTTAAAGTTTAGAGTTAATTTTGGGATTTCAGTTATGGTACTAATATTAATACAATCTTGATACCTCAGCTGCAATAATGTGAAGCTTTATATTTTTATTTATTTGTTACTCAAAAGGATGCATCTGTTCAAAGAACCCTAACTCTCATTTCAAAAGGGATCTCTGGTCTAGTGAATTACATTAGCTCCAAAAAAGTAAGTTCCACTTTTTATATTCATTTGTTGTTGTAGTAGTTAATCAGCAAATGTGCTTTGATAATAGGCATTATAGTAAATAATGTATGCGGTTGTGTGACTGTTTTGCTGGATATCCAATACTCTATACAACACACCCCTGTCACTCAGACATGACATATTTTAATTAAAAATTAATATAGACCTGGATAGCCCCACCCACTTTGTCATGACAAATTACCATTAAAAATTAATATTGGCTTGGCTGGCCCCACCTATTTTGCCATGATATACTACAATTAAAAATCAATGTCGACATGGCTAAACCAACCCAGGTATTATATATGATGTTCTGTGACAGTGTCATGGTCAGAGCTACCTAGACATCACAGCGATGGGAATTAGTGTAATGTCTATCTATTAGTCATACATTCAAATTTGGTCAGTTTCACCTAGACATTAATGTTATTTATTAGAGTAATGACCTTTAGACCATCATTAGGTCATAGGTCAGTGTCACCTTGACATTAGTGTTAAGTATTAGTTTAATGTAAGACCATCATTAGCTCATAGGTCAGTCTCAACTAGATATGAGTGTTATGTATTAGTGTAATGGCATTAAGACCGTCATTAGGTCACACATTCAAGTTGGTTCAGTATCACTTAGACAGGACCTTATATTGATGCCTCCCCCTCAATCGCTGTATGCTTTTTAGACTCTAAATATGATCTATCTGCTTGCCACATAGTGTGGTAGAGTGTTGTGGCAGAGTGGCGCTATTCAAAACAAATGCGATCTTATTAGTTTTAACTGAACAGGTTGTTTGATTTAAAAACTATACCCAAAAATACAATTGAATGTATTTAAAATAAATTATAAGATTTAAAAAAAAATTTAATTATAAAATACCCTCAGAGTTTAACTTCCAATTTTTTTTTACAGAATAGTTTTATTATGAAAGAGGAGTATATGGCACAACTGTATGCAATGTTTCCAAAGACTTTCCAGAGTGATGTCAGAATGGTGAGTTTTTCACATATCAGAATTGATTTTAAATGTTAGTGTATTCTAATTCCGTTCCATTTCATCAACATAATCTGTGCATCTCTAGTATGTTGTTGCAGTTGTTTTACAAGAATTTCTGAAATATTAGTTGAATGTTTTAGATTTTAAAAGTACAACTAACTAGACACTAATACGTACTAATTCTTTCACATCTTTTTAAAAATCCAGTTCATAGACATCATATCATCTAGTTCCGGTCCACATTTTCGAGGAATTGAAGCCCCTATAGTCATTAAGGAAGCGTAAGTGACTTGGATGTTCTCTCTTGCTTATAAATTCCAATTATGTGTTAATCTGAACACATTGTAATTTTAAAAAACCATCGCAAACCTGAAGAGAAAGTTAACCTGTTTCTCTGAGGAAGTTTGGTCTTTTCAAAGCCAGGTTCTCTGTTTATTCTGAAATGGCTTGACTCAATAGTAGCTGGTCCCTTACCTACATGGTCATTACCTCACAATAAATGTTCATTAGCCTGGCAGACTGGAGCTTAACTTATGATAATCCAACATTAATCTCACTCATACAACTACCTGCGAGTGAAGGGAGTTTGGATTACAATCTACCTACTGTCTTAAGTTCCAAACTCATGACTTTTGAGTTGCCATCAAATGTTTTACCACTAGACCAAGCTGTTCCTTTAAGTGTTGCTACTAAACAGCTTCCAGTTTGTAGCCACCAATCATTACACTAAAAGTTAAGTTCACTTTGAACATGAAGGTCCCTGAGGTAAATGAAGTAGAGTTCACTTGTTTCTGTGACGTTGGCATATGAAGGGTGTACTTGCCCTAATGTGAGTCAGGTACCCATCAGAGCTGGGTGGGATTCAGGGATGTTTTAGCGACTTGAACCCAGAATCGAACTCAAGACTTTTGGCTCAGCAATCATATACTCTACCATTCAACCACACCATCCCATCATCATTCTACTCAGCTGTGTTAAATATATACACCTTTATTTTCAGCTTTATGATTAAACGAGCACAAGGTAGAAAAAAGTTTGGCTTGAAAAACTTTAAGAAGAGATTTTTCCGTCTTACCAACCAAGCTTTATCGTATTCAAAGAACAAAGGTATGTACATGTTTTTTGTAACCACTTGATATTTTGTTGTTTTGATACCCTAATATTTTTTTAGTGATCTTTGTTGATAAGGTTTCCTCAAACATTTGATTGAGATTGATATAACCAGTAATAGATTGTGTTCTGAGGATCAAACTTAATGAAAACTGCACAATATGTTCTTATTTATTTAAGTTAGATATTACATTTGTTTTTTGTAAAAAAATTTGATTGCAGAATAACAGATTTTAAAATTATTTTTAAAAAATTCACTTTCAAACCTGACCTTCTATGGGGCAAGTGAAGTAGAGTTCACTTGTTTCTGTGACCTCGGCATATGAAGGGACAGTGTGGTCAGCTCTATGCTCAGCTGCCTTTACTTTCCCTAACGTCAGTTAGGTACTCATTAGAGCTGGGTGGACTTAGGGACAATATACTGATTTTAACCCGGATTCAAACTTGAGACTTAGGGGTTAGCTGTCCAGCTCTCTACTGCTAGACCACGCTGTCCCATAACACATTGTTTACTTGGGATATTTTTTTGCCACCAAATTACAACACTATGGTTACTGGCCCAGTGTATTGTATAGTAAATTGGATGTTGTTAAAAATGTAATTTATGCCTAAGCTTAATTAAAATAAAGTTGTTAAAACCCTGTCCTCTACCAGGTGATAAACAACCTCTGTTTGAGATCCCCATCACAGAAATCCTGGCAGTTGAGAGGCTGGAAGAGGATTCCTTCAAGTTAAAATATGTAAGCTTGATTTTTTTCTGCTGATAGAGTAATTAGTTTCAGTGAGAAATTATGTCTTGTAATACTTATTTTATTAAATTCTTTAGTAATAAGGCAATATTTACTAGCAATTATTTGCTTTGACTTAAAATTAGGTGGTTGAAGTGATTGATAAACTACATTGACGTTTTAAACATTGTTGTGGCTCTGCTCTTTGCCAGTGAGTGAGCGATGATTTTAATAATGTAATATTGTTTCAGATGTTTCAAGTGGTTCATGCTAAGTCTGCCCTGTACATCCAAGCAAACAATTGTGTGGAGGAAAAAGAATGGTAAGGAATTTATTTAAAACAACTTTTATTTTACACATAAAACTTGCTTTTAAAACAACTTTTATTTTACACATAAAACTTGCTTCTTATGTTGCTGATAAGCATAAATTCAAGAATTTAAAGGGAGATGACTTTGTATGCTGGAAGACATTACAGCCAGCCCACCCATTGTTCACATACTCCCAGTTTATCATAGCCATGAAATTGATAAAGGGCTGTCAACTGTTAAAGGGACTCTTATAGAAACAAACATTGTTATTATTTAGGTTTAGAATTTACAAGTTTCCTATTTTAATTTTTCTTTGCACTTATCTATTTAAACTTAGAATAATTTCCCTTGTTTTGCCAGAATTATTTTAATTATTTTTTTCTCCTGTACTTACTCCACTAAAAGATTATTTTTTCATGTCATTTTAAAGTGATAAAATGTACTTATAAACCTTTACTTCAAATTAATTCTGAATAGCAATTCATTACAACTATTTTTGTCTGGTATACAATTATGTGATAAAATGTACTTAATTTTATACGAGAAAAAAAATAAATACTTCTCATTGAGAAACTATACACTTCACTTGAGATGATTAATATTTACAATATTTTTTAAATTACTTTTTTTTATAATCAAAGAATGTACATCCATATTATACTCAAATCATGGATTAGATCATTATTTTTGCACCTACTTAATTTTTTATATATTGAAACTTAAAAAACAAGTTGTTTTGCAAGTACTTATAAAAATGCAAGATACTATAATAATATATAACTACACGAAAAACTGCAAGAAGTAAACACAAGTTAAAATGTCAGCTCAAGTGATTTAATGACCTAAAATTTTGTTAAAATGTAAATCTGGCACACAACTGAGTAGATAGAGATATATTGAACTTTGTTGATATTTTACATTTTATGGTTGTATAGTGAAAACGATGTGTTGCTCATGATAAAACATAATATTCTGCAGGTTGGATTTGCTGATGAACATTTATATGTGTTGCTCATGATAAAACTTAATATTCTATAGGTTGGATATGCTGATGAACATTTATATGTGTTGCTCATGATAAAACATAATATTCTGCAGGTTGGATTTGCTGATGAACATTTATATGTGTTGCTTATGATAAAACATAATATTCTATAGGTTGGATTTGCTGATGAACATTTATATGTGTTGCTCATGATAAAACTTAATATTCTTTAGGTTGGATTTGCTGATGAACATTTATATGTGTTGCTTATGATAAAACTTAATATTCTATAGGTTGGATTTGCTGATGAACATTTATATGTGTTGCTTATGATAAAACATAATATTCTATAGGTTGGATTTGCTGATGAACATTTATATGTGTTGCTTATGATAAAACTTAATATTCTATAGGTTGGATTTGCTGATGAACATTTATATGTGTTGCTTATGATAAAACTTAATATTCTATAGGTTGGATTTGCTGATGAACATTTGTAAAAGTAACAAGAACAGACACAAGCTTTACCACCCTGCAGCCTTTGTTCAGAATCACTGGCTATGGTAAGGCTTTTTGGGATTTGTCCACTAATTGTATCACCATTTGTATAATTGGTGATACTAATGATACTTTTGGAATTTGTCCACTAATTGTATCACCAAATAGTATCTTTTTTCCCCAGCTATACATAATACACCCAATTCATTGTTGTTCTTATGTTATACAAGTTAGAAAATATTTCTTGAGAAATGTTTATCCCCACATGTGTATTGATAATCCAGTTCATCAAAAGGGTGTTGGATGAAAGGTGTCTTTATTGCTTATACATTTTACTATAGACTTAGATGAGTTATGTGAGGTCATCATAGGGGTGTTGGTTGTAAGGTGTCTTTATTTCTTATGTATTTTACATTTTACTATAGAGGTGTTTAGTTACGTGAAAGGTGTATTGTGAATACATTTAATCAAAGAGGTTCAATGTTAGGTGAACAGTTTCTTCATTGTTCACACTCTAGTTGCAAGTCAGCAGACCATTCAACCCTAGGGTGTACCCCAGTCACAGATGGCCTACAGCTGACGGACATCCAGCCTGACATAGACTCAGACAGAGAAGTAGAGAAAATACACTCGCTGTTTCTGGCAGAAATTGATCAGTTAGATCAACTCCAAGGTAAATATTTTTTTCTTCTAATAACTTTCTAAATGGTTGAACTAGAAATGGATGTTCATTTCATGACATTTCTCACTGATATGCTAATTCTTTTTTTTTTGTTAAATGTTAACATATTAAAATGGGAATATTTATCTATTGAAAAATATATCAAATAATGACTTTTTATAATTTTTTGAATTGGTATTTAGCATCGTTATTAACTGGCACTATGATCTCTACACTTTTTCTTATTCAACTTATGTATCCTTATGCTTATGTTCTTCTGGATTTTCTTGTCTTGTAATAGGTCACAAGACTTACTTTCAATATAAAAAAAATATTTTTTAAAATTGCATTCTTTTTACCTGTGAGGGCTATGAAGTATGCATGGTGAATGGGAATAACTTACACATGAAAAGATAATTTACTTACAAGAATAAGGCTTTCAGAACACAAAATGGCTAACGATAATGAGAAAATACCCACACTTGACAAATAGACACTAACGACTTGCCACTTCATTAATTAGTCATAAAATAGTATGTCAGTGTCACATAATGAAGAGAGCAGTTGTTTGGATATATCTAACCATATGTATTGACATACACTTGAAACCAGACACAATCTATGTCAGCTTTATTCTTTTTATTTCAACAGTTTATGGTTCAAAAGGAAGGTGTGTTGACTGTGTTGTGTAGTCTGTAGAATGTATATTTGCCTTCAGTTAGATGTTCATGGTTTAGGGATTGTGGAGAGTTTGTTGCAAGTCTTAGATCTATTTTCATAACAATATATTACACCGATGTTATTACTTACAATAACATTGCCAGATAAAATTTTAAAAGGCTGAAAATTCTGAAATTCTAAACATTTGTTGTGTACACACATTTTAATGTACGGTTTATATCAATATAAGTTTTTATATAAAATACAGTAACACATAGAAGACTAATTAAACTTCTGAACATATTTTTATTATTACCTGTGATACTTTATTTATGAAAATGTGTCAATATTTGATTAGGACTTTCTGAACTGTTTAATGCACGTTTGTTCTAGGTTTGGGGTCACAGATGTAAGTCTGGCATGACGCTGGTTGTGGTGTGATATCTTTCTAATCCAACAGAGTTGATTTTTGTCAAGTGTTTAAGCTCTTTAGGTTTGATAGGACTGTAGGAACATGCCCCGTAGTCCCCAATACTTTGTGCAGTATGTGAAGGATTTATTTTATTATTTTTACTTGGACATTGCTGTAATGTATGGCCCCTTGGTAGTGCTTGTTCTGAAAAATACTATCTATGCAGATACTGAAATAGATCAAAACAAATTTCCATTACGAATATGTAAAATGACTGGTTCATATCTATGTTGCTCCTAGTTTAAATGTTGACTGTTTTTTTTATTTATTCCACTATGAGTTCAGGTTGTGGCTGTATGTGGGTGTTCATTATCCCCCCACGCCCCCCCCCCCCCCCCCCCCCCCAGATTAACTTTTCCAATTACTTTAAAGTCTTGACTTACCTGACTTAGTCCTCTTTGCTCCTTATGGAACATAGGGCCTCCACCATTTCCTTCCATTTTGTCTGATTCCTGGCTAATTATTTTGCAATCTCCCAAGACATCCCTGTTGGCTTCAGTTTAAGGTCTAGTAGCCAGCAATCATTTGCTCTAACCAGCAAAGGACCTCCCCAGCGACTGAATAACTCAGACACATCTTATCTCCCCCCACTAAAAAAAACCCTGATTTTCCAGGCTATGTGAATGCTGAAGATATAGAATATGATGGTAAGGTTGGTGTTGTTCTACATTAGTAACTTCTGTTGTGTGCGCTTACAGCTTGCAGTATTTTACACACTCTTGTTCAATCCTACTTTAGTAAATTGCGCTTGATTAATTTGGAAACTTGTTTACAAAACCCAGTGGAAAAGTGCTGAATTTCGCCCTTAATAATACACCCATAAACTAATGAAATAGTGAATTATATATCCCTTTATCACCTAACTCCTTGAAGAATAAATATTTGTTTAAATAAAAAACAAAAAATTGCACTTAAGATACTGCAATGCTATTTAACACCTGTGGATTTTACAGATACTTAACTTTTCTAACAGTTAAATAATTTGACCCGAAAATATTTTAACACTTCTTTACAACTAAAATCTAGCAATACATCTTAACAGGGAGTAACTTGGTGTCTTCCCCTTGTCTGTCAAATTAATATTAATTAGTTTTCATTGCTTGATTAACTCAAGGGAAAAAATAGCATGATGGAAATTTTGTTCCTGTCTAATAAAGATGATAGAAATTAACAATAGCTTGTTGTTGTAGAAGTGAGTACCCTTATGTATTAGACATATGAACATATTGCATCAGTATACAGGTTTGTATGTTTGCTATATACTCATTCTTGAGTTTTATTAAATGACAGTTTTTCTGTATTTAGATGGGAAATTAATATCTTATACCTATAACACCAAATCATATTTTAGTGAAACTGTACCTAGTAATATTATTTATATATTTTGAAAAGTATGTAGTAATTTATGTATATTTATATTTCAGTCAAATATTACATTAAAAAACTGAAACTTCTTTTATTAAAAATATGTACAAATATAAGTTTATAGCTGATTATTTTCAACTTATTTTATTGTTATTTTTGTTGTTTGTATACTTACTATGGGTAAAATAACTATGTTCTTGGTCTATTAGAAAATATTTTCTAAACATTAGTTAAAATTGATTTCAAAATCAGTGGAATCGATAAAAAAAAACTCTGCTATAAAGGCATTCTCAATGTTTTCTAAATAAACTAAAATATTTTCCATTCAAAGGAGATATTTTTTGTTTCATTTTTAGGGTCATTAAAATTCTATTAATTTCCAAAAAAACTTAACTGAATCAATACAAATATGTCTGGTAAGTGCTAGCATATATTTCCTCCCTGACTAACTGAAACTTAGATAACCTCTACACCAATCCACTAAATGTGTAACTACAAAGAGGTGTGTACATTTTTAAAAATTTCTTCCCAAGACTGCTTTGCTAGTAGCTTTTTGTGTCAAAGTTTGGTAAGTTGGCTATCACAGTAGAACTCACAGTTTGTTTTATTTTGGCTCCTGTGTCGGCTCACAGCTTTTGTTGAGTTCTTACTTTTTTTTGTTTTCGTTATACACTTCCACAGAATAAAAAAAAAAAATCCTTTTTTATCAACCTCAGTTTTGTTTATAATTTTCTCATTTACTTGAGGGTTAAACTAATTTTTAGTTACTTTAGTTATTTGGCATAAAACTTTAAAAAAATAATTATTTAACTGTTTTTATTATTTCTTTTGTCACTCCAATCACTCACGAAAAAGCAGCAAATTTCTCTGCTAGAATATGCCAGCTTATTTTAATTTACATTTCAATGAAACCAATAATTTTTCATATTTATAATTTGTGGGTCTCAATAATTAACAGCAACCATTTGACAGACAACACCATTGAATGTTCGTTTCATGATCTGCTTTTTTCTCCTCCACAATTTTGTTTAGAAATTTGTGGCAGACAGGCGGTGTATGCAGGGGACCTTGTGACCAAACCTCAAGGCTTGGGTTCCAACATTGATGACCCCTCGCAGAGTTTCTCCACCATAGCAGAGATCCAGAAGTGTATCATCACGCTTGAGCAGGAGCATATTCAGTATATGCGCTCTGTGCAGCGTAAAACTGTCATAGGTTCCATGTGAGTTGTTCTTTGTATTATACGTATGGTTGTGTTACAGTGTAAAACTGTCATAGGCTCCATGTGAGTTGTTCTTTGTATTATATGTATGGTTGTGTTACAGTGTAAAACTGTCATAGGCTCCTTGTGAGTTTTTCTTTGTATTATATGTATGGTTGTGTTACAGTGTAAAACTGTCATAGGCTCCATGTGAGTTGTTCTTTGTATTATACGTATGGTTGTGTTACAGTGTAAAACTGTCATAGGCTCCATGTGAGTTGTTCTTTGTAATATATGGTTGTGTTATAGTGTAAAACTGTCATAGGCTCCATGTGAGTTGTCCTTTGTATTATACGTACGGTTGTGTTACAGTGTAAAACTGTCATAGGTTTCATGTGAGTTGTTCTTTGTATTAGGGGCCTATATGTATGGTTGTGTTACAGCATAAAACTGTCATAGGCTCCATGTGAGTTGTTCTTTGTATTATTCGTATGGTTGTGTTACAGCTTAAAACTGTCATGGGTCTTGTATTATTTGTACGAGTGTGTTATAGTGTAAAACTGTCATAAGTTCTGTGTGAGTTTTTCTTTGTACTTTTAGAATGGTTGTCTATAAATGTTCCCTTTTTTGAACCTGATTTTCCTAGTGAAGTAGAGTTCACCTGTTTCTGTGACCTCAGCACATGAAGGCATAATGTGGTCAGCTGCCTCTAGTTTCCCTAACACGAGTTAGGTACCCATTAGAGCTGGGTAGACTCAACTGACTTGAACCAGCATTCTACCCAGCATCTAACTCAAGACCATCTGGTTAGCAGTTTAGTGCTCTACCACTAGGCCACGCTGTCCCATGTATGGTTGTGTGATATTGTAAAAGTCTTGTAGATTTTATGTGTGTTTTTTATTTGTCCTGTTATGTTCTAGCTTGTCCATTTTCTCATTTAGAGATACAGCAAGTTGTATTTGATATAGTTATATGGTGTCACATGTAAATAATCAAATTGTATAACATATGGTTATAAAACAATAAACACATTTCCTTATTTTGCCAGAGATACACCCATTGGAGATGAGAGTAGCGCTGATCTTGTCAGGAACATGAACAGATCCTCTGAGAGATTGAGTCGACACGGTAGCCGATCATCCAACGCCAGCAACATCAGTCGCCGGTCTTTCAGGGGCACCCGCAGTCGTGGTGGTAGCTTCAGGGAGCGGGACAGAGCTAAGACGGAATCAGAAGGCGTCAGGAAGTCGTTGAGTGGGGACGTGTCTGCCTCGGGGAGGACCTTAGGGGTGGATTTTATTTCAGAGGTCAAGAAGGCTGCAAGCTGTGATGTAATGGCCGTTGAGTCGAAGCCTAGGAGATCAGCCAGCAGGACAATCAGTGCAAGTAGTGCGAAGGATCATGTTGACCACGCAAGTTCTGATTACACGTCTTGTAACGGTTCAAATCTTATTGAGGCGGCCGCCAGTAAACTGGAAGAACTTGCCTCAGCGACTGGTTCTCACAATCCTGGGATGTTGGGGGTGGCGGCTGGGCGAGCTCCCAAAACAAGTACAGGATTTGTGCCCACTGGTCAGCTGGATGCTAAGAGAAGTTCTGGACACTCCAGTGATGCTGGCCAGCTCACGGCAGATGATAGTGTAGCGTCTTCACAAAGTTTTAACGGCGGTGCAGTGTTTTCAGTGGATCTCAACTCTTCAAACAGCAGCGGCAGTGCTTTAGAGACTTCCTTAGACAAAGTGAACACAGAAACCACAGCATGTGACATAACAAATAATCACCAGAATACACAGATCCCAGATACGACACACGACCCTACGGTCATCAGCAACAGCGGTCATCTGATAAAAAATTTAAATTTGAAATGTCACAACTATGCAGAGAATCTCAATCCAGATGTCGCTGATAATGTCAAAAAACCTGAGCTAGCTTTACCGAGTTGCCCTCACCATAATGAACTGAGAAGTCCGAGTCGTCCGAGAGGGTTCTCAGAGCCGCTTCAGACCCTCCTGCCCTTTAAGCCCTCCAACAGAATGCTGATGGCCAGCTGTAGTATGGACGCCAGCTCCGTCAAGGAGCAGCAGCCCTACAAGAGACAGCTCTCCCACCCCACAGGCCGGGTTGCTGTCACAGACAGCCTGGGCACAGGTTCGCCACCCCCTGGGGCAGATGTCGACATAAAACAGCGTCACACCACGGAGCAGCTTAACAACGGGTCCATCCATGATGTGGATCATATCGACCAGGTTCAAACACCCGGCCTGCAGAAGAAAGAAGAAGAAGTACACAACATCGGCTGCATTCTTCCGACTCTGACCCTACAACCTGATATTCTCGCTGAGCCTGCGGTAATAATTGATGATGGGACTAGCTCTTCCCCACCGGTGGATGTGACTGCGGTGACGATTCAACTTTCTTCAAGTCCAACAGAGTAGCCACAGCAGTATTTTATCAACTTTGAGGTTTTGTTTTCCTACTCAATCAATTTTTTTGTATACTACCCATGACAGGCCACTTTTATTGTCACAATTCACAAAAACTTCTTAATTTTTTTACCTTACTGACTACAATTCTCATACATTGTAAATACTATAATAATAAAGTAGTGTGATATTAAAATACTATAATAATAAGTAGTGCATAATCTGTAGTTTTTATAAGTATCAAATTAATACATTGTGATTAATATGATTACCAAAATATTTTTCTTATATCTTAGCAAAACATAAGTACATTGAAAAAGTACTTTTACACAAAGTAGTATGTAGTAATTAATAGTTATTGAAGCTCAAAAGAGCAGCTTAAACAAATACAACAGTATGTATGTATAAATATATATTATAATAAGAAATATAAAAAAAAATTTATTGTTATATATGTAAAAAGCATTTTAAAAACACCTTCATAATTTTTTTTTTCCTACTTTTTTAAATTTGAAATATTTTACAGTTACTAATGAACAAATACTGAAATTCACAAATAAAATTTATAAAAACCAAAAAGTTATTGAATTACTAAAAACAAAATGCCTCAGTTTTGTATGGCCTAGCTGAGATAAAATTATGTCCATAATATACCTGTATAATACTCTGGAACAGAAATCTGCCGTAGCACATAATAACTTGATTTTTTTTTTCATAACCGTATAAACTAAATATCATTTACAAGTAACAAAAATAATTGTTGACAATTAAAAATGTTTTCACTCAAAATATTTTACATAATCAAAATAAGTATAATTGATTTTTTTATCTGCCAACAAAATAATTAAAAAAAACTGGCTTTATTGAAAAAGGTAATATTTTTTACATAAAAGAGTATTGAATAGATTTTTGTAATTGTACATATGTTGATATGTATGTTATTTGTTTTTTTATCCTTGCTATCATATATCTGTGATGAACTGAATGTGCCAGTTGTTGAGTAGTTGAGAGACTGTGCCAGTTAATGGTTATCTGTTATACAATCTGTTAGAGCCTGTGTTACCACAGTTTGCTGTGTTACTTGAATGTACCTGTGTTACTTGAGTGTACCTGTATTACCTAAGTGTACCTGATTTACCTGAGTGTACCTGCAGTATCTGAGTACCTGTATTACCTGTGTACCCTGTATTATCAGAGTATATCTGTCTTACCTGAATGTTTACCTGCATTACCCGAGTGTATCTGTCTTAACTGAGTATGTGTATTACTTGAGTGTACTTACATTACCTGAGTGTACCTGATTTGCTTGAATATACCTGTATTACCTGAGTATACTTGTATTACCTGATTACCTGAGTATACCTGTATTACCTGAGTATACATGTATTACCTGAGTATACATGTATTATCTGAGTGTACCTGATTTACCTGAGTGTACCTGTATTACCTGAGTGTACCTGTCTTACCTGAGTGTACTTGTCTTACCTGAGTGTACTTGTCTTACCTGAGTGTACCTGTCTTACCTGAGTGTACCTGATTTACCTGAGTGTACTTGTCTTACCTGAGTGTACCTGTCTTACCTGAGTGTACCTGTCTTACCTGAGTGTACTTGTCTTACCTGAGTGTACCTGCATGACCTAAATGTACCTGTATTACATGTGTACCTGTATAGTGTAATTGTACCTGTGTGTACCTGCATTACCTGAGCTGTACTAACAAACCGTGTACATGTACAACTGCAGCCTGTGATGTTATTGACCTGTGTAAGACACCTCTTGAACTTAACCTGTTGGCCGAATGATTGTTGTTGTTTCAACCAAGGTTCAGCTGGCTTTCCTATTTAAACTGTGTTCATTGTTGACCAATTTTTATACAAGAATAACATTGTTCTGATGGAGAAGGACAGATAATTGTGATGCCTCCTTTCTATTTTCTTACCTCCCTTACTTAGTAAATCCTTAGCTCTGAAATGTTTTACCATGCAACTAGTGTTTACAATACACTCATCCACTGTTTCTTTTATTTTTAAAAATCCTTTTTTAAATATTGTAAATATTTTAAAGATATAATTCTCATTTTTCCCTACATTTCTTACACCACATATATCAACTTACTGACACATTGAATATTGAACTATTGCATGTATAACCTTAATGTGTGGTTGTCCTTTAATTGTGGTTCAAATATAATGGTTCTTTATGTCACTGATTAACTTCAAAAACACTGAAACTATTTGTTTATTTATTACAATATTAATGTTTATACTTGTTTTTTTAAATACATTTTTTTTAATGTAAATAACATTCTTAAACTGTGTATGTTCCATAATGTTGATTGCTAAAGACTTTCCTAACTTAATAACTATTTATCTCTTCTTTTCTGTATGTTTTTCAAATTCATGTGAACATTTCTTATAGTGAATTATTTAATTCAAAATTGTTGCCATATTATTAATTTACCTTTTTTATGGTCTTGAATGTTCAGAATTTTATTTCTTTACTGAACCAATACCTGAGTTTAAACAGGAAATATTTTTTCTCTTATTGTTGAGGCTCATTACACTAACAGACATGCTTGCTATAGAGTACAATTTAATAAACCAGTCTATTAAAGAGTCATTTAACTATCAAAAAAGTTTCAGAGTGCATTAGCACTGTATTTTGTAATTATCCCGCGGATTAGATGTTAGAGCTATTTGATACAGTTCTCAGATTAGCATCTCAGTTCTGTATAGTCAGTGTAGTATCTGATTTCATGCACGCAAAAATTATAGTGTTAGTCAAAATGGATTAACATCATCGACGTTTTGTGGCTCTACGTTTATATGGTTAATGTCACATATACTCTACAGACTAATGTGCTGAGCACACTGATTGTAAAATTCAATTGCGTTTTTTTTTTAAACTAGCGTAGACAAATAATTTTTAATATATTTTTGACTGTCAGTTATTTTCTTACTGTCGATTATTTTCCAACTGTTGATGAACTTTGAAAGAATTATTTACTATCACGCCTTGACTACACTGTAATACAACGACATTTCCGCATGCATGTTGTGTTTTTAACAGTTGAATATTGTTGCAAAAACAGATCACATCTTTGTTGTGATGCAGTTTGTTTATTGTATGTACCCACATTTTTCTCTCCTATTGAAATGTAGACCTGTTGTACATCACAAATGTAGTAGAACTAGTCATTGACGTGGTTTATTGTTTAACTGATCTCTTCATTTTAAAAATGCTACACTTACAGCTACTTAATGGTAATATATTTGTCAAGTAGGGCAAAGAGCTTTAAAGAATAAATGGTTGTAAAAAAAAAATTGGAATTAAAAATGTGCAGAATCTACAATTAAAAGATATCAATTTGTGATTATAACTTGAAACAAACAAAAATCAGGCAGCTTTTGGAAAAAAAAAGATACATTTTTGTACATAGTTTAATAATCACTATAAAAATTAGCTGTACATTCAGCTCAACAAGTTTGCAATCAGAAATCAATTACAAAATAACTAAATACTGCAGTAATGTTAACAACCTGTAAATTTGGGTTGTATATCCCCCCTCCCAATATTGAGGTCCAAAATATCAGATAATGTTGCATATTTAGCAAAGATATTTATATTTTGCCTTTCTCAATATTTTACTTAATCTAACTTCACGTTTTGTAACACAATATGTACATATTAAAAAAATTAGGTTTATCAACTTTTAACTTATCAATAAATGGATGGCCTTTACTTAATTCACCTTTTAGTAAGTGAATTATAATTTGTTATTAATAGCCAAAAATTAAAAAATAATTACTCAACAATATTAGATTTTAAATGCCTCTAGATATTACAATTCTTGCTTGATATATTATTTTTATCCATTTCATAATGCCAAAATGTTAAAAAAATATTCCTGAAGTAAGTTAAGTAGATGCCTCACCTCCATTTAGTTTGTAGGGGAGATAAATTCCTGAGGTAAGTTAAGTAGATGCCTCACCTCCATTTAGTTTGTAGGGGAGATAAATTGCTGAGGTAAGTTAAGTCGGTGCCTCACCTCCATTTAGTTTGTAGGGGAGATAAATTCTAGAGGCTGCTGTTGTGCTAGTCCACCAAGGTGTTCACTGGAGGGGGGTGGACTAAAACCTGTTGATATTGTTTAGCTGATATTACACAATCCAAGCAACAATGCTAATCTTGTCAACAACAAAAAACTAGAACAATTATGACTATTCGTTAACTTTGTGCACATTCATTACCACCCATGCTAATTGTCCAAACTTGCTAAAATACCTTAGAGTATTAAATTATTTTTTTTTTTAAATTAAAAAGGGTATTTACATTTTATTTTATGACATGGAACAGAAAAACATTTATTTTTATACTCGAGTTCCAAATATTGTTTACTTGAAAACACATCACTTTATCATATCCTATCGTGAATATATACCTTGACATTACATGAGGGCCATCAATGGCTGGACATTTTTTGTTAATGCCATAAACCTTTATCCTGTCTTACAATCAAGGTTACCATTGGCTGAAAAGTTTTCCAAAATACTGTTTCTCCTTCATAAGAGAGCTGAGAGGCTCTGGTTAACTAAGTCCTCTTTACATTTGTGGACATGAAAGGTTAGGAAAAACTCAGTTTAAAAACAATTCACATAATCTCACAACCATATAAAAATTCATGTAATTGTAAGTTGAACTACACATTCATGCAAGTTCAACTGTACACATTACTGTCAGTTAAAGTATACACATTCATGTAATTTTAACATACATGTCAGTTGACCTGTACATTCACTAGATATTTTAACTTTTTAGACTTGCTCCGAAAAAAAAATATAACCATGACATTTCTTTCTAATACAAGTATTTTCTATATTTTTATATCTTCAATCCGCTTTTCACAAATTTTTATCTTGTTAACTTTGTGCATAAATCAAACTCAACCAATATGAAATCATGTTATTTTTGTGCATTAATCAAACTAGATCAATAAGAAATCGTGTTAACTTTGTGCATTAATCAAACTAGATCAATAAGAAATTGTGTTAACTTTGTGCATAAACTAGATCAATATGAAATCAAAACTACGAGCTCATTCTCGCAAATATACACAAATACTTTATTTTCATTAATTTGATGAGAGAAAGAAACACTGATAAGTACTAAGATTTTATTGTCATTTAGATAAGAAGGATAAACAAAATTACATTTTAGATTTATTTAATTTTTACAAGTACGAAATTCTATGTAAAAGAGATCTAATATTTAATACATATTATAACCCTATATTATAAAAAAAATGTTTCAGCTATAAGATTTTAAGATTTTTATAGAATAGACTAGAACGGCATTCTGGATGAAAAGCTTTTTTACAATTCCCAAATGTTGAATCAAGGATGGTTAATTCTCATATCACAAAAGGAACACATCACATTTGTTCATATCTTCACTTCAGTTTTAGGTGTTCACTTTGATTTTTTATATAAAACAATCATTTTTGTAATACATATGCACAGTGTATTTTTTTGATATTACAGGGAATTGAATATTTTTTAGACTGATTAAAAAAACACAATTTTATGATGGAGTATGTTTATTGACCTTTATATATTGAATGCCTTATATTGAGGAACTATTGCCCTAATATCAGTGTTCACATGTTCTATTTTTCTCATTGATTACTTAGACAAAGTATTACATAGTTAATGTGTTAACTGAGGTGTGCCGAGCTCTAGAAATGTCTGAAAGATCCCATGCTGAATAAATAGTAGCCTGGTGTTGAATTATTAAAGTAATTGTATTCCATTTCTGCTTGTAGAAATGTGTTTGTTTTAAAAGGTAGAAAGGGTCTTTTTTTTAAAAAAAAATTCAAAACACATCTTTAAAAACTTATTGTAAGCCAATAAAATTTTTCAAGTTGTGATTTCTTTAAAACGGACATGTGAAGTTTTTTTTGTAAAATATGATAGAATGTGCATACTTGGTTAACTTATATTATATTAAAATTTAAAAACGACTTTGTTCTAAAAATGTCATTTTTAAAGCCCTGTTTTCTTAATACATATAAGAACTAGCAAAACACTTCAGTGTGTATTGATGTATTTTTGTTAATTTTTAGTTGATGTTTCCTATACTTAATTTTTAGTTGATGTTTCCTATACTTGGCACAAGCAACTTCAGTTCAAATGAATTCACATTCCGACTTTACTGGCTTGCATTTTTTTCTAGGAAGCTCTACTAAAACAATTCCTGATGACATACCCAGTTACATTTCTAACATAAATTACATTCCCTTTTCAGCTTAGCGGTTCCATCAAAACATGATCTATTAATTAGCAAACAATGATGTAATACAAATTGTAAATATTTCTAAAAATGAACACAGTTTTTTTTGTAAATTTTGTACAAATTGAACTATAAACTCTTTAATTGTGCTTTAATATGTTGACTAAGCTCAGTTGTAAAGTACTGCCTTGACAAGTCACATACTGCAAATTATAAAGGTAATAATATATCTAATGAATTATTTAAAAAATAATTCATACTATTTGTCTAACATTGTATTAATGTTAAATTAAAGTTTATTAGAAAAGAACATGCAATTGATACTTTGAAATGTAGTGGTAACAATTAAGCTTATTAGAAAAGAACATGCAATTTGATACTTTGAAATGTAGTGGTAACAATTAAGCACTGATCTTCATCTAATTAACGATCAAGTATTTGAGCTTAAGAATATTAAAGATATCAAGACTTAGTCACACCTTGTATCATACTCAGTGCTAGTTACCAAAGCTTTTAGGTCCAATTTATTTCATTGAAAAATGGCACAGAACTTAAGAATGCTTCGTACTTAGATCTAAAACTATTCTCAAAGGGACATTTTTTTTTGCCAACCTCTAAATTTGGTCTCTAAAAGTTTATATCTTACCCTGTAGCTAATTGAAACAAATAACCTGCTGATCTGTTTTGTCTTGCACTATTACTTGCTATATTAAATGCTCTATACAAAACATTCTTTCTGATATTCTATACAACTTTATCTTATGAACAAACCTAGTTTTCTGAAATTTTCTATTAAGTCACCAATTTTCTGAACAAATATTCACTACTTGCACCAGTTTTTCTGATAGTTTCACTTGTTACTCTTTTATTTAACATTTTGTAAATTGATGTCTAACTGTTGCCATGTTCCATTCAATTTAACCACATGCAGTGACTGAGTTATCTCTCTTTGTGTTACAAGATTCTACTAATGTTAATAAAAATATTAATGTAGTTTTATATATTTCATAGTGTAAAAGTGGTAAATGTGTGAGATTAATATTTTTAAACAATTGTATCTCTTTATGTATTTGATTTTTAAAATTCAGCACTTTAATTTTTTTTAAAAAAGTTATTCATTTCGATTATATATTTTTTACACTTTGTCACTGAGGGTTATTTCCCTTGTGCATTTTAACCTATATCTAGTCCAGTCTATTTTTTCTATTTTGATGTGGTTCACAAATCTGAAACAGCAGAGGGTCTTAGTTGTTATTCTGGCTTGTATACTTATTTGAGATAACAATCAGATTTAGATCATTATTCTGTAGAAAAAAACTGTCATGGTAACATTATCTGTTATTTGTATTTTAAATCCTATTTTTATTGAAATTTTTAGTATTTAAATTTAAACAATGAGGAACTTTTCTTACTTAAAACTTAAGTTATTTTGTTAATACTTGATTTTTATGATTTGATACATTATTTTGTATTTATTTTCTCTTCTGTGCCAAATTATTTTAAAAATTTTCAGTGACAAACCAATATTTGGCCACGAATGCTGGTTTTTATAAGATAAATGTAACACAACTCAATGTAGATTTTCTGTTTTGGCTCCTGGTAAACTACCATCTTAATATACCATGAGACACTACTTAAGTAAATAGAAATTTAAAGTCTCTGTTGCTTGTTTCCTCCCCTGGACCTTATGAACTCAACATAAAAATATGGGACCACTTTGTATACATGACACTAGGTTTAGTATTAGGAAGAGACATTAACCCTGACTGTGGCCAGATATTTTTTTTTTTACTTTGATTAAACTATGTTTTGACATCCTGCAGTCACGAGTGTTTGTTTTGTGTTTTATTTGGTTGGGTTGTCTTCGTCATACAAATTTCATCATCTGTTACAGGTTCCTTGTATGGTTACCATCAGTCTTTGACCACTGCATACTGTACGGAGGTGATTTTCTCACATTATTATAACGTGTCAACATGTTATCTGGCATACCTAGCCCATTGACTCCATCCTGTACTTTCTTCCTAAGCATTCGCTCAACCACAGATAATATACTAGGCTACAGCTGTTACTTCTTCATTATAAAATGTAATGCTGGAAGAGATTCCTTCGACACATTTAAGTTTTAAGTGTCAACTTTTTATTTGCCATATAGGCCATTGACTTCAATTTCAGCCTGCTTTTCTTTTTGGATTTAATTCCATAGCATTTGTCTTACCAAAGACAAACTATAAAGTCATTTGATTTAGCAGTTTTCTATCCTTAGACTATCCTAGATGGGTTGCTGTCCCCAGCTAACAAGCCATTTCTGTCCTGGGTTCAAACTCAGGACATTTGAATTAGCAATGATACACACTCCACTTAACCATGCGCTCCCCCAGCATGTAAAGTAAATGTGAGGTTATTGCTATGCTCATTTGTATTTATTTTTCCCTACTTAAGTCTCCAACATTAGGATGGTGTGGTCGTAAGGTCAGTCGCGTAGCGAGGGGCGGGGGACATATGTCCCCGGGCGCTGACCTTAGGGGGCGTCAAAATGGGTTGGAAAAATAAATTGAAAGGTTGAGGGGGTTGCAAATTAAAAGTTTGAGGGGGGGTGTGCAAATCAAAATCTTGAGGGGGGGGGGGGTGCAAATCGAAAGTTTGAGAAGGGGGGGGGGCAAATAGAAAAGTTTGTCCCCGGGCGCCGGGAAGGGTCGCTACACCTCTGCATAAGGTAGAGCATGCGAATGCTAACCTGAAAGTTCTGAGTGCGGGTTCCTTGAATGATGGGTATTTTCAGTTGAGGAAAGTATAGGTGGCTGGTGATAGCACTGACCACACGAAAGCTGAGGTCACAGAAACAGTGGAACTCTACTTCACCTGCCCCATGGGCCACCAAGACCTTTACTGAGTCATCAACATACTCTATAACACTCTGCTCAGCTGAAATAAAAACCTACTGTTCTCAGACAACAAATGAAAACAGATACCTGCAACCATTGAGGTAGGCGTGTCTTTATTAATTCAATAAACAATAACAAGGGGCCATAAAAATTGACCCAATCATCTTGGCTAAAACACACCAGTTCAAATATTGTCAAAACAATACAAATTCAGTAACATGTAACAATTCACGGGGTAAATAAATGATATTAAATAATGGTTAAAACAATCAATTAGTATTTACTAGTTGGACTAGTGAATAGAATTCATAGTTGAAAATTAGCTTGAGACACTAAAAATGTTTGTGTATAGAATTACCGGGTGCTCTGCGTTTAAATTAGTTGTTATATGTTTTTTCTCTGTGTAAAATTAATACTGTGCACTATTGGAGAAATAACATCACAGATATCAGTTTAATGTAGAGGGCTATGCCTAGTCTATCAATGTAAAGGGCTTTACATTAACAATCAGAGTTTACTCTAGAGGTCTATACCTAGTCTATCAATGTAAAGGATTTTTCTCTAGCAATCAGAGTTTAATGTAGAGGGCTATGCCTACTCTATCAATGTAAAGGGTTTTATCCCATCAAAGTTTACTGTAAAGGGCTATGCCTAGTCTATCAATGTAAAGGGTTTTATCCCATCAAAGTTTACCGTAAAGGGCTATACCTAGTCTATCAATGTAAAGGGCTTTACATTAACAATCAAAGTTTACTGTAAAGGGCTATACCTAGACTATCAATGTAAAGGGTTTTATCCCATCAAAGTTTACTGTAAAGGGCTATGCCTAGTCTATCAATGTAAAGGGATTTACTCTAACAATCAAAGTTTACTGTAAGGGCTATACCTAGTCTATCAATGTAAAGGGTTTTATCCCATCAAAGTTTACTGTAAAGGGCTATGCCTAGTCCTGCTAGAGACAGCCAAGCTAGAAACCCAGGAACACTGGGAGCATTTTTCTCCAGGAAACTCATCTGTAGTCTTTTGGGTTTCAAGTCCTGTGGAGAAAACATAAAGAGCAATTTAACACTACATTATATACACATGGGCAAAAGACTATCAGAGAAGGGCAAAAGCCAATTAAAAAATAATTCCCTTTCGGACCTGATGCTCAATAGGACAGAGAAAATTCGTGTTTTTGTCACTATGACATATGAAGGAAAAGTGGTTAGTTGACTTTAGATTCCCTAATGTTAGCTAGGTACCCATCAGAATTGTGTGGCCGTTCTACAGTTGTTAGTTCGAGATTCGAACCTGAGACTTCCACTCTACTATCCAACCATGCCATCCCACAAAGGTACCAGTGGCACAAGTTAAAATGCTCTTAATCCAGGAAGATCTCAACTCATGAAGACTGACAGCCTACATGTGCTTAATCCCCCCCCCCCCCCCCAGAGGTGTAGCGACCCTTCCCGGCGCCCGGGGACAAACTTTCAATTTGGCGCCCCCTCGGGAGCAAATTTTTAATTTGCACCCCCTTCAACTTTTCGATCTGCACCCCCCCCCCCCCCCTCAACTTTTCGATTTGCACTCCCCCTCAAACTTTCGATTTGCACCCCCTCAACCTTTCAATTTATTTTCCCAACCCATTTCGGCGCCCCCTAAGGTCGGCGCCCGGGGACATATGTCCTCCCCCGCCCCCTCGCTACGCTACTGCCACCCCCTCCCATGGTGCATGGCACCTTAAAATCGGATTTGGTGTCACATAATAAAGTACAATCTGTGCAAAAAAGATGTGGCATGTGTGGTGGATTGTAATGACTGACGAGAAGCCGCGTTGGTTGTTAACAATCTTTATTATGTACAGACGGCCATGATGGTAAGAGAGAGAGGAGGAAGTAGCGAGAGACTTATATACATAACAACATGTAAGGGACATCACTCAAGATAACAATATAAATATAATACTAATACAGAAGAGTGAGTTCCCTTGACCTCACAATTATTTCAATCTATTACATCCCTTTACCCTTAGAACACAATAACACATCTCTCAATAGAACAATTGATAGTATCCTAAAATCACCAATTATATTGTAACATGAACACTATGGTAGATTACATCCTTGCAAACAATGCACAATATGCTACAACATAATCAAAATACAAAACAATAATGTCAAAGTCCTTTTGACCTTTAGAATCATAGGTCTAACTTATTTGGGACTTTGATTGTCCTGCTTGACCTTCTCAGTGGCTTCTGATTTGGTGACTCAATCTTCTGACCATCTGGATTCTCTATCTCAGGAGGTCTAGGATTTAACTCATTAACTCCAGAATTTACATTTTCTGACTCCAGACAACTTGGTTCACTCATATCAACAGAACTTGGTTGTGAAACAAACTGAGTTGGTGTGAACTGTTCAGATTTGGTGGGATTGACAGATTCACACTTATTATCTGCACAAGTTATTTTTAACTTTATAAGACACAGGTCCTTTACATTGAACAATTTGACCTGGTATCCATTTTTCCTTTCTCCCATAGTTTCTTAGATACACATTCTCATTAATACCAAATTCTCTTTCAATGGGTGTTTGTCATGATCTAATGGAACTATTTTTTTGAATTGGCATCTGAAAGTATTATGCTATTATTCAGATCCTTAATTGACATAGATTTCTTTGATTGATCAATTTTCTCAGGTAATCTGATAGTGCTTTCCTGGTAACCAAAAATACTGTTTACAAGTAATATCCTGGACCATATCACTTTGCAACTGTCATTTAGTATTTGAAGTGGGTGTATTAAATGGCAAAAATCTTTTTTTTTTTTTTCTTTTGATGTTACCCTTTTAGTTTCTGTAAGTGCTAATGATGTTAGCAAAGTTGTTTGATGATCACATTCCTTCTTACTAATGTATTTTCTTTAAAACATTTGAAATTGCCATATCACCATAATCATTTATGAAGTTACAAATACTTTGTTTAGGCAACTCTGACTGATAATGGACTGCATCTTCTCCATCTTTAATATTATCTTCACAAAAGTTTTTAATTTCTTATTTAATATGGCCTTAAGTCATCATTCACAGACTCTTCAGGCCAACCATTCTTACAGTACTCATATACTTTTATTAAGCACTCATCTTTTTGTGTTTCTCTTTTAATATCATTCACATTTATATTGGAGTTATCCATGATAGTGAAGAGAACAAATACATCTTCTGGTACATAGCTCAGGCTTTGGTTTTTTAAAGGTAATCTGCTAAGACTATCTGCACTATTCTCAGATCCAGGTTTGTATTTCAATTCATAATTGTATGCAGTTAATGTGATAGCCCATCTTTGAATTCTTGGTGAGGCATGCTCAGGTAGGGTTTTGTTTTCTCCAAATAAACCTAGCAATGGTTTATGATCTGTAAAGATGGTGAATTTCCTACCAAACAGAAACTTATGAAATTTCTTAACACCAAAAATGATGCCTAAGCCTTCCCTATCTAACTGAGAATAATTTTTCTCAGCCTGGTTCAAAGATCTACTGGCAAAAGCAATGGGTCTGTCACCCTTCTCATCCATGTGGGACAAGACTGCTCCTACACCATCTGGTGAAGCATCACATGTTAATACAAGTCTTTTCCCTGGGTCATAGTGAGTTAGTAAGGTGTCAGCAGACAAAGCCTCTTTTGCTGTATTAAAAGCAGCTTCTTGTTGTTTACCCCAGTGCCAAGTTGCATTTTTCTGTAGCAGCTTGTACAATGGTGATAGTTTACCAGACAGATTTCCTATAAACTTTGCATAGTAATTTATCAAGCCCAAAAAAGCTCTTAGTTGTTGGGTATTTTCAGGTTTGGGTGCTTCTTTAATGGCTTTTGTTTTCTCAGGTTGAGGTCTGATGCCTTGCTTGCTTAATATATAACCAAGAAAACTAATTTCTGTCAGCATGAATTGACATTTATCTTTGTTTATCTTTAAACCTTTTTCACCAACAATTTTCAAGACTTTATCAAGTGTTTTAAGATGTTCAGTGTCATTCTTACCAGTTATGTACACATTGTCAAAGTACACACAAACATTTGGAATATCCTTAAAAATACTGTCCATGACAGCTTGGAAAATTCCAGGGCTGGATGATATGCCAAAACATAGTCTTTCATATTGGTAGAGTCCTTTATGTGTGTTTATTGTCGTATAGACTTTTGAATCTGGATGCAGTTCTAGTTGAGTGTAAGCATGACTAAAGTCTAATTCAGTGAATTTGTCTCCTCCTGCCAAATTCAAAGAAATTTCCTCAATGTTAGGAATAGGGTACCTATTTAGCTCTATTTGCTTATTCAGTGTAGTTTTATAATCTCCACAAATTCTTATAGAACCATCCTTCTTTAACACTGGCACAATGGGTGTCGCCCAATCGGAATAGTCTACCTTCTTTATAATGCCATTAGATTCCAATCTACTTAGCTCATTTTCAATTTTGTTCCTCATTGTATAAGGTGGAACTCTAGCTTTGCAGTATCTTGGATTTGTGTCTTTAATGCTTAACTTCACTGTTCTATCATTTAGTAAACCTGAATTACTAAAAACACATTTATTTTCAGATATAACTTTATCTAGTGAAGTAAGACTAGATTCTTTTACATTCTTCAATGAACAAATACTCTCCCAATTTAACTTAAGATCACTTAACCAGTTCCTACCTAGTAATGGCGGTCCATTTCCTTCAACCACAAGAAGAGGAAGTTTAACACTTTGACCATTATAACTTACATGAACCATACACTCTCCTATTACCGGAACATTGTCACCAGTGTATGTTGTTAGACACTTGTGACATGGCTGTAGAGACACTGATCCTTCTGTGACAGCGTCAAAATCTTTCTTTGTTATGACTGTTAGAGATGCTCCAGTGTCAAGTTGGAAGCTGATGCTCTTACCGTTGATATTAACTAGTACATTGATGGGAGCATGACTTATTGATTTAACAGAGAACAGGTTGAAATCCGGCTGCAAATCAATTTGAGCATTTTCACAGGTAGAGTGGTTCATTGGTTGGGTTAGGTAGTCTTGGTGAGAGTTAACATAGTGCTGCCTTTGGTTGCGGTACTGTCTTGACTGGCTAGATTTAGCAACAGACGAAGACTTTGCAAAGCAGGCCTTAGCAATGTGACCTTGCTCACTGCACTTATAACAAGTTGCAGACTTGAACTTGCACCGATGAGATGCATGGGGACCTTTGCATCGATGACATTTTTGATAATTATTACTAGATTTAGATCTAGGATTTGAACGAGCAGGCTGTTTAGCATAAGTTGGAATGCTCTGTTGGGGTTGATGTTTGTTGACTAACCTGCTGTTTACTGCATGGATCCCTGAAGGCGTAAGAGATTTCGCCGCATCTGATGACTGCTGGAATGACATTGCAAGTTGTATTGCTTTTTCCAATTTTAGATCTGACTCGAGCAGCAACTTTCTTTGAATATCAGGGCTGTTTACACCTGTCACAAACTTTTCACATAGTCTGTCAGACAGCGTGTCGCCGAATTCACAAAATCTACTTAAATGACGTAAAGCAGCAACATATTCTGATATTGACTCGTTTGGTTGACGAGTCCTACTGTCAAATCTAGCTCTACATAAAAACTTTGATGGGGTAAGCGCATGGTGGTCTGTTAGCAATTTGCTCAGCTCGTTAAAGCTCTTGGTATCTGGACTAGCTGGTGCGCATAAGTCCTTTAGTAGCCTAAATTGTTGAGGCCCTATGACTGTTAACAAAACAGCTCTCTTTTTGGCTTCTATCGTCACGTCGTTAGCTTCTAGGTAAAAGCTTAACCTCTCTAGGTAATCTTGAATGATTTCATCATTCGCATCAAATTGATTTATTTGGCCATACAGCGCCATAATTCTAGAAATAATTAGCTAATAAGCTCTAGCAAACCTCTTTTTTGCGTAAGTAGGTGCTCTTTCTAGTAGATGTTTATCCTCGTCGCCAAAATGTGGTGGATTGTAATGACTGACGAGAAGCCGCGTTGGTTGTTAACAATCTTTATTATGTACAGACGGCCATGATGGTAAGAGAGAGAGGAGGAAGTAGCGAGAGACTTATATACATAACAACATGTAAGGGACATCACTCAAGATAACAATATAAATATAATACTAATACAGAAGAGTGAGTTCCCTTGACCTCACAATTATTTCAATCTATTACAGCATGTTTTAATTAGAATAAAACACACTAAATATTTATATATTTTATAACTATGTTAGGTTATTTTATTTTACCGTAAATAGTCATGACAGTTATTATATACAAAATGAAGAGTTATATAAAACAAAGTTGTCTACCTTATCTGAATGATCTTTGTCAATCTCTACCTCAGTGATCTTCCCTTGCCGGTGAAGAATCTGTTAGTAGACGTAGAAGAGTTTAAAATTTAGAAATGTCTTACGTTTTCTAAAATAAATTTTCAACAGGAAAATATTTGGACTTTGGTATTTCATTGACTATTTGATTTATCCTATTACAAGCAGGGTCGTGAGCAAGGTCTTTGTACCTGTCTGTCATCACTCACCTGTCACATCACTCACCTGTCACATCACTCACCTGCATGATATCACTCACCTGTCACATCACTCACCTGTCACATCACTCACCTGCATGACATCACTCACCTGTCACATCACTCACCTGTCACATCACTCACCTGCATGACATCACTCACCTGTCACATCACTCACCTGTCACATCACTCACCTGTCACATCACTCACCCGTCACATTACTCACCTGTCACATCACTCACCTGTCACATCACTCACCTGCATGACATCACTCACCTGTCACATCACTCACCTGGCTGACTTCACTCACTCACCTGTCTGACGTCACTAACCCGCCTGTGAGTACTCACCTGTCTGACATCACTCACCTGTCACATCACTCACCTGCATGACATCATTCACCTGTCTGACATCACTCACCTGTCACATCACTCACCTGCATGACATCATTCACCTGTCTGACATCACTCACCTGTCTGGCAGCACGTTCTCCTGCTTGTATGGCACCTTCCATGTAACCCGCCCATTCTGTGGCTGTCTCTGTGCCACCAAAGAAGACACGGTCCACTGGTCTTCTCAGAACTCTACACATACAATTTTATTACACGACTTAGTGCTTTAATTTGATGGTGACGAAAATTCCATACCCTCTCTTCAAAAAGACCACAAATCAACCTTCACTCCCCTAAATTATTACAAATCAACATCACTCCCCTAATATATTACAAATCAACATCACTCCCCTAAAATATTACAAATCAACATCACTCCCCTAAAATATTACAAATCAACCATCACTCCCCAAAAAGACCACAACTCAACACCTACTCCCCAAAAAATGACCACTCAATACTTACTCCCCAAATGACGTCAGAACACCTGTCGGTAGTGCCAGAAAATAACATCCACCTGAATACTGTTCCGTCGACCAGTCCATCTCCTCATAGTGGGTGGGCTGAACAAAGAATATCCAATTTTACTAATTGCTTTAATTGTAAAATTTTACTAATTGCTTTAATTTTATATATAAAATAAAAGTAGGGTATTTTGAATTTAAAAATGGGTCATGCTTTGGGAATAAAGTAAAAAAAAAAAAACAAATTAAAAGGCGTTAATTAGTACTCTATTTTAGGAATCCATTATTAATTTTAATTTAACGAAGTTCATAACATATTTTGCGAAGTGGGTTCAGAAACTAAGTTCAAACGAATGTGTGTTCTTATATGACGCAATGGCAGGGGTAGGCTGATCTGCCGGCAGAAGGTGAAAATCTTGCCAAGAACGGTGTTGTAATAATTGGACTAATTAATTGTGCTTTGTTGAAAGAAAGGTATTTATTGGTAAACAAACCCCAGCCATGTGGGTACCTACTTATCTTTGTTACCATTGATATTCATTAATGCCCAGTGGCGTAGCGAGGTCGGGTGTCACCCGGTGCGGCACTTAATGGTGTCACCCCCCAGAGGCGTAGCGACCCTTCCCGGGAACTAACTGTCAATTTTCGATTAACACTCCCCCTACCCCCCCCCTTCAAACTTTCGATTTGCACCTCTTAAAACACTATTTAACACTCGAATTAATCACTTAATTAAGTGGAATTATCATTTTCTCTATATATTTTGCTAATTTTTTGTCTTGGTGTCACCCCCCTAAATGGTGTCACCCGGTGCGGTCCGCACCCCCCCCCCCTCGCTACGCCTCTGTTAATGCCCAATGGAGTAAAATTCATACATAAAAAATGCACGATGAAAATTAAGACGGGTCCCTCTCTCTCTCTCCTACCCCTCCCCCTCCACCCCGAGCCGCTTAGTAGACACGGCTAGTCTTCCCCTGCCCATAGCTTAGGGGGTCGTCTGTAACTGACATCACAAACGTAGGGGTGAGGGTGTCCGGTAATTTTGTGACGATGCTTGATGTGGAATGGGGGGGGGTGGTTTAGATAGAGGTCACAGTTTTGTATTTCGTGACGATGTGTGACGGAGGGGGGGGGGGGGGGTAAAAATCACTTTTAAAAAGCGTAAAGTGATTTAAGGATGATCCTTTAGGTGGTTGTGTCACTTACGTTTAGCGCTTTTTTATCGCGGAAAACTTGAGCTAAATCTTGTATCACTTGCTTCCTGCGCTGTTCTTTTGTCATCATTCCCGCTTGCCTGGCCTTCTCAGCCACGATAAAACTAGAGAAGAGACAATTCTGGTCAATAGGAACTTGAATGATCAACGTGTACTTTATTTTATTTCTATTACTACTTTCTGTTGTGGGTTGGGAGGGGGGGTGTGCGAGAGTGGGTTGGTCACCACAAATGTAATTTAATATGTAATTGTGATGGTGAATGTGATCATAAAAGGTTATATTAGGAAAGGGGTGTGTAAAAAAATGGTTCCCAGAAAAATGCGCAATCGTTAAACTGAGCAACTGAAAACTCGCAAAAGTGCGCAAATTCCAACTATTTATACTAAAACACTTTAATTTTTTTTATATTTGTAGCAATTTATTTTTGCTACAATGTACATGTGGTCATTTTTTGTTGACGTCTAAAAATGCTCAATTTAAAAAAAAAAAAAAAGTTCCGTTTCGCATCTTTCCGGTCACCGTAAAAATAACATATTTATGCATTATACAATCACTGTCCCTAATTATAAGTATGAGCAATATAAATAAATAACCACGGATAGTTTGACTCAGTAAAAAAAAAGTGATGTACTCACGCCACAAGAGCAGGAACGGATCCATCTGGGGCCGAGTTGTCCATGGTGTAGGTCACTATACAGTCATCATCGTTCACGTTGGCAGATCCACACAGGCCTTAGAAATATTAACAAAGGTGAAGTTTCAATGTTATAAAACAGAAGTTTTTCATTAGCCATTAGTAAACATACAAATATTAGTGTATGAAAATACTTTTGATGGAGCCGAACTGTTAATCCTAAATCGGATCCTAATCCAGGGATAAAAGTGTAAGGCATACGAATACGTCGTCGTTAGTAGTAATCCAATATCTGCTAAAATTTCCGGGGGGGGGGGGGGGGGGAGGTAGACAATGTTAAAAGTATATATGTTCTAAATAAATTCCATTTCGTTCGGGGGGGGGGGGGGAGTAGACTGTTTTTTACCAAAACTATTCCTTAAACACATTGAAATCCTCTAAATTTGGAGTCCCCTACCATTGGTTTATCAAAACTATTCCTTAAACACATTGAAATCCTCTAAATTTGGAGTCCCCTACCATTTTTTTTTACCAAAACTACCCCATAAACACATTGAAATCCTCTAAATTTGGAGTTCCCTACCATTTTCCTTCCAAAAAGGCGTGTCGTAGTAGAGGAACGCCTTCATGACGCTCCCCATGGGCACTCGTTGTATCAGCTGGTTCCGGTCTGGGGGGAGGGGCGGGTTGTAGCTAATTTTAGCCTGGATTGACAGCGGCGTGGTGACTATCACGTGCTTGCACTGGAAAAAACAACAACAACAACAAAACTACAGTTATTTTAAAAAAAAGTACTCCACGCATTAACGAAAACTTTTTATTTTCAACTACAAACGTTACCATAGTCGTACCATTAAGTATTCACCTAATACAGTGGTTCTTAACCGTTTCGCAGGTTCGAAACCCCACCAATTTCATATGCGCATTCACCGAACCCAACTTAATAGTTCTGTCGTCCGCATTGACAAAATCTGATCATGCATCATATGAGTCGGGTGTGTGTCTTGACCTCCGCCGAACCCTTGAGACTGACTCACCGAGCCCCTGTTGTTCGATTGAACCCAGATTAAGAACCACTGACCTAATACTACCCCTAACTGCTGCTATAAAGTAAAACCCTATCTAGCGGTAATACCAGGGGTTCTTTCAGATATTTTTCTCTGGGGAGGGGATACTTGAAAATTCAGGAGCGGGTAGTGGGGGGGGGGGCGAAGTCGACGCACATAAACTTTCCGAGTGAATAGTTTTCTAATTTTGTATCACCTTTACAATCAAATTCATCTTTCGTCATTTCTATTTAACCCATTTTCCAAGATTAATGTTTAAAATAGGCCCTATAAGGCTACATCCTAACGTATATACAAAAGTCTAATCTTAATAAAAATGTTATAATTAACAATTAAACTTTGTTCTTGTTTAACTGAAGCAGTAGTCGAATAATTTCTCTCTGATGTTGAATCTTCTAACAGAATTTTCTACATTGTAGCAAGCACAATTAAAAAAAAAAGCTTTTGATATTGGTAAAATAAGTCGATCAACAATGATTCGTTTCAGAAAATGTCACCCCTTGCTTTGAAAAGTTACTGACCTTGAACTTTGCTCCCCCAAGGACAGTCACGACGACAACATCGGCTTGTGTCTGGTCAATATCCACAACAGGACTCTCTAACAAAATGTTTTCTGTGGGGAGAATTGGTTTTTTAATTACCCAAGTACCGGACTCTCTGTGGGGATGATAGTTTTTTAGTTACCCAAGTGCTAAGAGAGTGACTTAGGATTACAGCTGAAATGTCCCACATTCATCTCCTTTAATACTACAGGGATTTTTTTTTCGATGAAGTTTGGCACACTCTACTTCACCTAGACAAACACATATCTCACCATGTCCGACAATGTCTGCCAGTTTGTGACAGATCTGCTGGGAGCCGCCGATCAACTTTTGTTCCTGAAATAAAAAAAAATCTCGATGTTACTTGTTTGTTTTTTAAATATTATTTTCAAATTTTAATCCCATTTTTGTAAAATTGTTTCTAAGGATAAAAGCTAAACAAAACTATAGATTCTAGGATTTTTAAAAAAATGGGGACCGCAAAGGGAGCTGTGGTACCTGGATACCATAAGTGTGTCATCTGTACAAGATGTGTGTTACATGTACAAGATAGGTATGTAACCTGTGTAATATAAGTGTCTCATCTGTACAAGATGTGTTACAAGTACAAGATGAGGGTGCCACATATATAAGATAGGTGTGTAACCTGTGTAATATAAGTGTGTCACCTGTGCATGATATGTTTGTTACCTGTAAAAATAGATATGTTCCCTGTATAAGAAAGTTGTGTTGCTTGTATAAGATAATGCTCCTTGTGTAATATAAGTGTCTCATCTGTACAAGATGTGTTACAAGTACAAGATGAGGGTGCCACATATATAAGATAGGTGTGTAACCTGTGTAATATAAGTGTGTCACCTGTGCATGATATGTTTGTTACCTGTAAAAATAGATATGTTCCCTGTATAAGAAAGTTGTGTTGCTTGTATAAGATAATGCTCCTTGTAGCGTTTCTTGTATAACTGTGTTACTTGCAGTATTTCTTCCAAGTATCTCTTCGGGAAGGGGGGGGGGGGGTTCCCTTCACTGAAGTGAGTCTACCGCCCCCCCCCCCCCCCCCCCCCCCCCCCCCGAAAATATCAAGTGCCCCCCCCCCCCCCGGAGAAAAGTCTGGAAGAAGCACTGGTTACCTGTACAAGACACATGTGCTACCTGTAGAAGAAAGGTGTATGCGACCTACCTGAGCGCCGCCCTCCGTGGCGTTGATCAGGTGAATGCCACCGACTGTCCTGTAGTGCCAGAGGATGTAGAGCAGCGATACCTCGTGTGGGCCCACCGTGTTGTTGAGACGTATCGAGTCAGAGATGAGATACCTGCCTGCGCTGGGGGGGGGTGGTTGGGGAGAGATCCGGATCATTTCAAGTCAAATCAAGGTTGTTGGCGTGATAAGGGTTTTATTGGGTGGGGCGTCATTTTATGACATCATTATATTTTACCTACCCCCCCTTCCGTACATTACATCACGTCATCATAATAAAAAACTAGACTACGCCTCGCCTTAGAAAGACAAAATAGAAATCACATTTTTAAAAAACTCCCGTCTCTACTACCATCTAACTACACACGTAGGAAGAAATTAGGTTAATGACAGTAAAATTCATTGGCCAAATCTGTTAATATTACAAGTTCCGGTAAATATGAAAGATTACGGAATTTTGTTTTCGATCGTCATGAAAAGTTAGTGAAAATTCAACGAATACATTTTTTAAACCTCCCCCTTTAATAAAAAAGAAGTACCTGGTCCATGCATGTTTGTCAATAAACTGCTGAACTGTCATACTGTCCCACTCTTTCGCTTTTGGCGCTTTCCAGGGGGCGTTGAGGGGTACCTGACGACCATAAGGGTGAGGTTAGTGGTGTGCCGAGAATGGGGTGAGTAGGTAAATAATGATGGGGGGGGGGGGGGGTTAGACTTTTAATATCAGTATAGTGCTGCCCAATTTAAGTATATGATCGCAAGCTGTGACTTATTTTGGTAATATAACTGTACCACCCCCCCCCCCCCCCCCACATTCATAACAACTCGCACTATCGTTATTTTAGAGTATGGATGATTCATTTTAGACGTCACGAATACATTGGGTGGTGATTTTAAATGTCATTACTATGAGAATGAGACGTAGTAATAAAAAAAAATTATATGTAAAATGCCTGACTTTTGATTGTGATGGTGGTGTTGATAGTATTGGTGGTGTTAATGGTGTTTGAAGTGTGAGTACTTATGGGAGTGGGATGTGTGTCTGTGGTGCCGGGTGTGTTGGTGGTGTTGGCGGTGTATGTGTCGGTGGTGTTGTGGTGTTGGTTGTTAGTTGTGGTGTTAGTGGTGTTGCTAAAGGCTGTATTTGCCTTCATCGTTGTGGCTATTCCTGGCTCTCGGCACCAAATGTGGCGATAGGGGTCAGTGTGACCGGAGGACGAAACCGGTTCATATAGCATGGCGTCATTTATAGACGCGCCCCCCCCATTCTGCCATATTACTAGGTCGTCATTTTGAAAACTATGCAACCGGAAATGACCTTTAACACTGACCTACCTCTGCTCCCATCTGATCGAACAGACGCAGGATGTTGTTCATGTCTAGCCATGACAGAAGTCCCCCAATTGGCGGGAAAATTGTTTTAAACCGTTTCCTCACGCCCTGAAAACACAAAACAACAACTCCAGGTTAGGATACAAACTTAAACCACACAACGTATCATGCAACGGGTGTATTATGGAAGTAAAATTGTGCAACCTATTAACGACTTCACGCCCCTAATGAAGGAGGGAGGAGATTTAAACTTATGTTTCAATCAGTGTTTCTTTTGGACATTTATCACCGAAAGGGGGGGGGGTGACTTGAAGCTTTCGGGGGGGGGGGGGGCGATATAAATGGACACTGGTAGCCGTATATATTTTCTATATACATTCTATTTCTTACCTGGGGGGCGGGGGGAGGTGGGGGGGGGGGTGCCTTCCCACAGAAATGAATGAAAGAAGATCTGGTTACAATGTTTGACGAGAGATGGGGGAGGGGGGGGGTTTGGAAAGTGTGACGACACTTTTGCATTTTAAAATAACGTAAGAAACAGAATTTTAGCGATAATTTTAATTCTGAAGAGACTGTTTAGTAATTCGCCAAAAAGTCGATAATCTCATTATTAAAGAAGCTAAATATAAATTTTTTTTGGTTTGTGTGTAAGGGGGGGGGGGGTATTAGGCTTTATTTTGGCGTCATTTTGTATAGTTGTGTGGCTTTTCCGAAAAAAAATTAAGACGAGGTGGGAGTGGAGGGGTGGGTTGGGTACATTTAATTTAAAATCGCGGGTTCCTTTACGACGTAAGTTTGTATGAACCAGCCACATAACCAAGGCTTCAAGTAGCGACCGGCTGTGAGTACGCTGCCCACCTTCTCATAGTACAAGAGATCCTCTTTCTCATTGGTGGGGAAGGTCTGCAGACCAAACTCTTTGATCAGCTTCCAGACACGCCTTTGGGTGGCACCAATGTAGGCGGCGCCTAGGTCGACATACTTGGCTTTCTGGTTCTGTTGGGGTGATAGAAAATTGTGTTGTTTGTGGTAGATGTTGAGGGAGGAAAAGTATTTTTTATTACAGGAAAGTATGTTTTCATTAGGGTTTTAAATATTCTTTAGTGGAAAAATAATTTTAATTTTACACTAAAGTAAACGTTTGTTGACGTTATTGATAATTTGTATTTTATGCTAATTTTGGTATACTTTGGTATTATACATTTGTTCACTTTGGGAATAATTAGTTAAACTTTGATATGAGGTATATTACAATATAAGTTATAATTTAGTATATGTATACTTTGATGTAAGGTATGCTTTCTTAAAAGGTATAATTATGTATAAAGTATACTTTGTTGGAAAGTATACTTTATTATAACGTATGCTTTAGTATGATGAATAAATGGTATAAAATATACTTTGATATAAAATATACTTTGATATAAAACATACTTTAGTATAAGGTATAATTTGGTATAAGGTTAAATTTGGTAGACTTTGGTACAACATATTTTTTGGTATAAGGTATACTTTGGTATAATATAATTTGGGCTAAGGTATGCTTTCTGTGTTACCTGGATCGTATACATTCTGTGTTACCTGGATGGTATACATTCTGTGTTACCTGGATGGTATACATTCTGTGTTACCTGGATGGTATACATTCTGTGTTACCTGGATGGTATACATTCGTCCACCGACCCGATCCCTGGCCTCCAGTAAAAGCACGTCAACATTGTGTTGCTGTAGCTCTCTGGCTGCCGTCAGACCTGGGGGGTGGGGGTGTGGGGGGTGGTGGTGGTGTTACAATCAGTGTTTTAGTTGTTGATAATGAAATATATAGGTACGAAATTAAGTAACAATGTTTTTTTTTAAAAAAAAAAAACCTTCACTGTTCTACAATCCCCCTTCCACATCCATATGGTCAAACAGACGCGGAATAATACATTAGCTAGCGCTAATCCTGTCCCTCATCCACAGAGTTTCTTCCAGGTATCTATTCGGTATCCCCCCCCCCCCCCCGAACGAAATGGAATTTTTATAGAAAATATATATTTTTAAGAGTGTCCTAAGAGCCCCTCCCTCCCTACCTTTCTATCGAAATATTACCATAAAGTCATCTTGCGCTCTTCGATGTATGAAGAGGATGAAACACGTCATTGACCCGTTGATTCCAACTATAGCATGTTTTTCTTTTTGGATTTGCTTCCATAGCCTTTGTCCAACCAAGAACAAACTACAAGGCAGCAGTTGTTTGATTTTGGAGTTGTCTCTCCTAGGAGAGTGGCTGTCCCCAGCTAAAGAGCCTCATCTGTCCCAGGGATCCGGTAAACTAGCTCGGGAACTACTGGTTGATTTGTGCACTGCTACTCACCCCAACCCCCCCCCCCTCCCTCCCTCCCTCGGTGTCATAATGACGTCATTGCCTTACCACTAATGCCTGAGCCGATGATGATGACGTCAGCGGATGTCTTCCCCATGTCTTTCTAGGCTGGGATCACCCGTAGCTGTAGACATTAAAAGACAGGTGCGGTAGTTATCTTTAGACTGTTGTATGTGTCAGTTGTTGTATGTTTCAGTTGTTGTATGTGTCAGTTGTTGTATGTGTCAGTTGTTGTATGTTTCAGTTGTTGTATGTTTCAGTTGTTGTATGTGTCGGTTGTTGTATGTGTCAGTTGTGTGTTTCAGTTGTTGTATGTGTCAGTTGTTGTGTGTCGGTTGTATGTGTCGGTTGTTGTATGTGTCAGTTATTGTATGTGTCAGTTGTTGTGTGTCGGTTGTATGTGTCGGTTGTTGTATGTGTCAGTTGTTGTATGTGTCAGTTGTTGTATGTGTCAGTTGTATGTGTCAGTTGTTGTATGTGTAAGTTGTTCTATAGTCAGTTGTTGTATGTGTAAGTTGTTCTATAGTCAGTTGTTGTATGTGTCAGTTGATGTATGTGTCAGTTGTTGTATGTGTCAGTTGTTGTATGTGTCAGTTGTTGTATGTGTCAGTTGTATGTGTCAGTTGTTGTATGTGTCAGTTGTATGTGTCAGTTGTTGTATGTGTCAGTTGTATGTGTCAGTTGTTGTATGTGTCAGTTGTATGTGTCAGTTGTTGTATGTGTCAGTTGTATGTGTCGGCTGTTGTATATGTCAGTTGTTGATTTGTGAGTTGTTGTATGTATTAGTTGTTGTATGCGTCGGCTGTTGTATGTATGAGTTGTGGTATGTGTCTGTTGTTGTATGTGTGTTGTTGTATGTGTCAGTGGTTATATGTGTCAGTTGTTGTATGTGTCAGTTGTTGTATGTGTAAGCTGTTGTATGTGAAAGCTGTTGTATGTGTAAGCTGTTGTATATGTAAGCTGTGAAATAACAACACAATGTTCTAAAATTGCAATGTAACATTTTACAGGCAGCTGACCGTTATCGTCAGCTGGTCGTTATAGTTATAGGTAACAGGCTACAACAGGATCATTACACGTACGCGTCAATCACAAATAAATAGACCTTCAAACAAAACAGACACCATGAGGTCACCAAGAGGTCACCATGAGGTCACCGACAACTGAACTTAAAACACAACCTGCACTCTAAAGCTGCTTCACCTAGAGGTCAATCAGTGTGACGTCACAAGCGGCCTACAAATAAACCTGCCCCAAATTTTGTTTGTACGCCAGGTAAAAGTGCATCAACTCTCCTAAAATTCTACGATCTCTTTAGCGCGTCTTAGACGTATTTTGTCCTTCCTCCGTCTCCCCCTCCCCCTCCTTTTTATTTAAAAAACGTATATCTGCGATTTTATAATGTTTATAATTTTGAAACTGAAGGCTTTGAAAGCGACACATGTACGCCGTCGCCAGTAGTGTACCGTATCACGCCAAAGCCACTGAACATGCACTAGTTTCGCACTAAGTCGACCGACATTCAGATCTAAGAAACAGATTGCCCTACTTATGAACCTGAATGCCTAGGTGGACCAAGAGAATGAAAATAGCTTACACAAACCTGTTGGATTACACAAAACGGTCAACTTACTCTAGCAAGTCAATAAATTAGATTAGTTTTTTTATTTTATTTTAAGCCTCATGTATATACACATGTATTTTAAAAACTAATCATGTTTCTCCAGTATATATATAAGCCGTACCTCAATGAAATAAATGACACAAACCCGGCACAGAACACACTAAACAACACACCAAACAACACACCTTGTAGCTGTTGTGTTGATTCCCGTGTAGCGAGTAGCGTCTTGCTGTGAATGTGTAATCTGTGGACAAACAAGCGACCTGCATTAATGGGAAGATTTCACATAACGGTCCGGCAACTAGAACTACTGGGCCAGGGTTCGACGCTATATCTAGCAACCCGCGGTGTTAAGTGGTTGGACCACAGTATGACGCTACATCTGGCAACCCGCTGTGGTTTAGTGGTTGTGCTAGATGTAGCAACCCGCTTTGGTTAAGTGGTTGGGTCACAGTATGACGCTAGATCTAGCAACCCACAGTGGTTAAGTGGTTAAATGCTTATATACGACAAGTGTCAAACAGTGGATGATTTATCGTTGGTCAGGACCTATGCTCAATATTTTACCGCTGCTATAAAAACTGCATCATTTAGCTTGTTATATTTTAAAAACTTATACGTGGATCAAAATAAAGCTCGCGAAGAAATGCAAGCGCCCCCGAAAATATGACAGGTGATAAACGTACTCGTTCTCCTTAGCTCACAACTACTTCCCTATTCCCATAAGTATAAATTCGGACTTGTCAGTGGCATAATTTTGTCAGAAATATTTGGTGGGATTATAACATTGTTTCATGTTTATAAGAGTAAAACGAAGTACAACAGGGTCATTTAACTATAGACCCTCCAGTCTTCAGCATTAACGATTCTGATGATTTCTCATATAGTTAACTATTCACATACAGGTTGTCTTCAAGTAGATAAACCCAGTGGTTAGGTGAATGTAACCAACACTTTCGTTATGTTATACAATAAATATGTGGTCCAGTAAGAAACAAGCAACATAACCTACATTTTATCAAGTACATTAAACATACAGAGTGTATTTAGGGCGGGGCGAGTTCATATTAAAGGGTTAAAACTAGGCGAGTTTTCATTAAAGGGTTCATACAAGCAACATACTACATTTGATCAAGTACATTCAACTTATAGAGTGTATATAGGACGGGGCGAGTTTGTTTGTCTCTTACTGAAGTTCCTACACCGTCTCTCCATAAACCACCTCTATCCTAATCTCCGCAGTCAGTAGCTGTACGACTTTACAGCAGGTCATATCGACAACCTTGTTCGACTTCAAATCTAACTGTGGTCTGACCTGGTTACCCAGATTTTTATTGGCGTATGTGTGTACGTATGTACGTGTATATGCGTTGGTTTATGTATGTGTATGTGTGTGTATTTTAGTTTATGTATGTTTATGTGTGTGTATTTTACTGGGAAATCTCGCGACCATTTGAAGCTAAGTAGAAACCAGTTTGATAAAAAATCTTTACATAATAATAAAACCTTGATCTAAGTGTACTAGTGTTTAGCAGCTGTATAGTATTTTTAATGTGGATAATTCGATGTGCACTGTCTTGTTTAGATCTATATTTAGCACAGCGCCTTGTTTCTCTCGTTGCAATAAAAAGATGACAATGATAAGAAATGTTGAACTAAAAAAAAATCGAAAGGATTTTAGGTTAGTGTGTTATTGACAGAGTTAGAGATTATGATGGTAGTAAAATATTTGAATAAGTAAACATAGACTACTTGTGTTGTAAATAATCTAATTGTCGTCAAACTTAAAGTTGAAAGAGGGGGGGGGGGGGGGGTAGAATCGAGGGTTCGGATAAGAAAGGTTCGGACCCAAATCTTCATTGAATTTTACAGAAATTAAAACATTCTGTAGGCCTACATGATATTAAATATACAGGTGAAGTAGAGCGTCTCCGGAGGTGCTTTGAAGGAGGCATAGGGAGGAAGGTTTGTGTTTAGTAGGTCTTCATTACCTAGCCCTAGGTAAAATTAAAGTTACCCTTTCCGACCTTGCGATGAAGTAAATTTACCCTTTATCTCTGAACTCGACATGTAAAGGTATAGTGTGGTCAGTGGTCAGTTCTTTGCCCAGTCGTTTTTACCTTTCACTTTCTCTGACTAGAGTGACGTACTCATCAGCGCTAGGTATACTTGAGACTGACGGTTAACAGTCGTGAATTCTACGAATTCGTGCCAGGTACTCTATTGAGCTGAGTGTACTCAGCGACAAACACCATTTTTAAAACTCAACTATTTACCTACTTACCTGAGATGTAATTAAGTATTGTGTATTGTGGAAAGCTACTACTTACGTATGTTTATGTGTGTACCTAGCACAGTGCCCTGTATGTGTGTAGCATTGAGCTGTGATTTGATTCAGACAGGCACAGTTTCTACACCAGCCTACATTTGGCCACTTTGCCCCACATTCAAGTGAAGTAAACCTAACGTGAAGTTTGCTCTACTTAATACAGATAAGGGGAGATAACAATTTCAAGATAAAAAAATGGGAGTTAAGTTTCTGGTTTTGTTAAAGTATGTTGATCTTTATAATACGAATTGTGGAGTCGCCATCGTAAACAATGCAAGTAATTATGTTAAAAAATGCAGTGGGTTTATTGTCACGCATACATAAACTATTACTACCCTAGCTACACATGTATGTGTCCTTATATCCACGCCAACCACACGCCATACAAACATTCGATTTTATTACCACACTAACCACACACTTAGGTGAAACTAGCCACACTAACATGCCCTTATAACCACTTTAACCACACCACATACGACCTTATTACCACTTGAACTACACCGACAAGTGTTCTTATTATTACTCTAACTACACGCATATGTGAATTTATTATCACTCTGCCTAAACACCCATATATATGTGCCTTACTCCAACGCCAACCACATAATATACAACATATGACCTTATTACCACACTAACCACACACATGTACAATTGCACACTTGCTACAGTTAAACCTCATAGGAATTAACCACACTATGGCTCAGTAAGCATATAGCACAGATTTAATAACCGCATAAATTACACAACATCATGCACTAACACCCCCCCCCCCACACGCCCACCCATGTTTAACAAAAGCACACTCACAAATCACGTGCCCGTATTTTAAAGTGCATTTTGTAATGGGGTTTAAAAAACCAAAGCAAATCAAAATACATTTTAAAAAATAATTACAATTTCGGATTTAATTAGAGGATAATTATTGATTTACCTTTTTATACCCTCAATGTTCTTTTAATTAGTTTCCACATTAGCAGAAACATTTAAAAATAACATTGATGTTATTATTTCAGTTTTCAAATTTGCAACATCGCAAAAAGTATTATAATCACAGATTCAACAAGATTAATTTTAATTCTTTAATTAATATAGCATTTTAAAGAGAGAAAAAATAGCCTTACAATATTTTTTTAAAAATAAAGAAAAAAAAAATTACAGCTAAAAAAAAATCTTGCTGTAGGCTGAGAGTGCGATGAAAATTTTTTCAAGAGGGGAGTTAACCGTTTATTTATAACACATTAAATAAAAGCAGTAATTATTTCCCTTTTAAATAGCCAGCGCCGTGGGATTTTTCTAGTCTAGTTTATTATTGAAATAGTTCCTTTGTTAACACCTGAATTCCAACACAGTGAATTACGGAAAAATCGGCTCGCTCACACTCAGTGAAGAAAAATTTTAAAACATTGTTTTATCAGCCCTGTTTTGGATTCAACATGAATCAATATTATAAGCTCGTGCTTACAGTATCGAGAGGACGGTAATGGGTACTACAGCAGAAGAGTTTCCAATGCAGGTTCTATTGTGGTGCAATACTGCGCAAGGTGCACCTAGGAAAAGACTCTTATAATGAACTCACTGTGTTGCTCTACATTACATGCGTCATCCAGACAAGACCCGCCCATACTAACCCACATCCACCCGCATACAGAGACATAAAAATATGTGTACTGTGTCTACTTGTAAACCATCTGGTAAAAAAATAATAATCATTAAAAAAGTTTTAAAAAACCCACGTTTTCTGATTGAACTAAAAAGTAGAAAATAAATGCTATAGGCCCTACATCACAATAATGCAAGCGATCACTCTACTATAAGCGATGAAAAACGTGGGGCGCCGAAGTAAAAGTTATATTACTATTGATTAGATAATACTATTGACTTTTATTAGGGAGCTTGTAGAGAGTCAACAGTATTAGAAACTGTAAGAAAATCACGGCGCCCCACGTTTTTGCTCGCTTATAGTAGAGTGATCGCTTGCATTATTGTGATGTAGGGCCTATAGCATTTATTTTCTACTTTTTAGTTCAATCAGAAAACGTGGGTTTTTTAAAACTTTTTTAATGATTATTATTTTCTACTTTTTAGTCTTTGTCTGTTTGTTTGCATTAAAATCTTGCTATCGATTTTATCTTTTCACTTTTTTTGGGTAAACGAAGACAACTCGTAAAAAGACAACTCGTAAAAAGACAACTCGTAAAAAGACAACTCGTAAAAAGACAACTCGTAAAAAGACAACTCGTAAAAAACACGTTGTTTGAATACGTTACTGACTAGAACACATAGATTTGAACCCGTGTCGAGTGGGATAGCAATCGTGTGCCCAACCACTCGACCATATCGTCTCCCCCAAACTGGTCTACCTCCTGTAAGTTTAAACTCGGTTCAAGCTAAATTCTCTGCCCCTAAGCCTGTGGCGACATGTGATCGTTCGCTTCACTGCGCGCGAGGTACGCGTCGCTGGTTTTTTTTCTAATGGCTAGCAGAGGAGAATTATATATATAGATTATATAGCGGTCTAAAATGCTCAATAAAATGTTTCCATTGATCAATTTAGTAATAATAACAATTGAATATTCAATGGTCATCCAAAAGAAAGCTTCCCTGAAAATTTCAGCGCGCTAGCTAACTGGGAAGTGCCAGAAATTTCGATCGCAAGATTTGATTGGAAAGACAAACACACAAACAGAGAAAGCAAGTTAAAGAAAACGTGGGAAAAAAACAACCCCAAATAGTCTCGTCCAGTGCATCCCGATCGGAGAAGGTTTAACACATAACATATAAGTGTGTTACTAATTGTCAACATATATATAAATAAATAAATATATATATATATATATATATATATATATATATATATATATATATATATATATATATATATATATATATATATATATATATATATATATATATATATATATATATATATATATATAATGGCTTTTGCTTAATAATTAGTATATTAATGAATTTCAGAATTGTGTACTAATCATTGAAAAAGAGTTGTTTTATATTTAATTTTAAATTTAATATATTAAGTTAATATTTTGCGTTTATTAAAATAAACCGGCAGTGATCTTCCCTAAACTTTCTCGAATATTCTTATATAACACTACGTGGGATGGCGACTCGGGATATAGACAATATTTTTAATCAATTTTAATTATTTTAACTTTTTAAAATAGAATAAAATCTCGTAGAAAAAAGAAATGCACACAAAATTAACGCCAAAAAAGAAATTTGTAAAATAGTGCGGAATATTATTAGTACTTTATAAATTCACATGCATTTTTTGAGAAATCGGAAATAGCCTAAATTACTACTTCCGGTCAATGGAAGTTACTCAAAATTTGATAGAAGGTAGAGAATTAAATCTTTTACTTTTATGTGAAACTTCATGTATTTATCTGAAATAGTACTCAAGTTACAGGCTTTTGAAAAATTGAAAGTGGAAAAAGTTCCACTTCCGTTTAGCGGAAATCGCTCAAAAGTTGATACGGATCTACGATTTTGATATAATACTTATATATGAAATTTCATCAACCTAGCTGTAACGGTACTCAAGTAATCGTGTTTACAGACACACACACACACACAGACACATATACACACAGACATACGGAAAAGATTGCAAAACTATGTTTTTCCGACTCAGGGAAGTGTAAAACGTCGAGATTTGCAAAAATCTCGATTTTTTTTGCACGATTACAAGACTTTCTCTATACTCTGTATACAAGAAAGTAAAAATATTAAAAAAAAAAGTAAGGGATACAACCTATACTTAAATTCCCAAAAGTCTTAAAAAACAAAGCAAAATAAAATTATAATTTAAACAAAATGCACAAATATATTTTATTATTTGAAGAACATTATAATTTATTTGTTTAAGTGCATTTTTTGTGTCTAAACATACATTTATTAAATTTTAGACTTATTGTTTATATCTAGTTTAATTTGAAAACACTAACTGTTTTTAAAATTGTTTAGTTTTAAAGTTCAGAATGTTCCATTTCTATGATGTTGAAAATCCACAGAATAGCGTCTTTTGTTTCCTACGCCAAATCTTTGTCCTGCTTATAATACAGCTGAGTTGTCTATATCAGGGGTCCTCAAACTACGGCCCGCGGGCCGGATGCGGCCCGCGAAGTCCTCTCATCCGGCCCGCGGAGATCCTTTTGTCCAAAGAAAAATCGTTTGTTGGTGATGGCTGAAGAACTTTGCGCAGAAAAAAAATCAAAGACATGCTTGGAAGAAACTGGCCCCCGAACTGAAATTTGATAGTTAATGCGGCCCTCGGACTAAAAAGTTTGGAGACCCCTGGTCTATATGATTATTGTCTGTTGGTAAAGAATGGTAATTGATGGAAGGATGTTATAATCCTACATCTTCAATTAACAGACCAATTATCTATCCGTATCAGTTAAATCATTATATATTACCCCCCACACCCGCCCAAAACTGCAGTAGTACATTAACCCCTACCTCTCCCATCCCGGTTCGAATACTAATTTACCCTATAGTCTTACCTAATTGGAATTTAGCGATATGCTAAATATGTTAAATATGTGGATAGGGATGTTGATGGGGATAAAGAAGAAGGGGCGGAACCACCATGTCGCCAAACCCCGCAATTCGAAAAGGTGGGAGGGGGGGGGGGGGGAACGTTAGACCATTTAGGGGACCCAAAATCTCACAACACATATACTTTTGCAATTACATTAATTACTAAATTGATTAAATTGCTAGATTAGTAAATAGATTAATTTAAAATTGAAACATTCTACTAATATATATACGAGAAAAATGGCCCGTTGAGGAAGGGTACAACGGGCGCTAGGCTGATAGTGCTGTCTCTTTTCTCTAAACTAAAACCAACCCACCCCCCACACACCACCCCCCCCACACCACCCCCCACCCCCACCACCCCCACCCCCACACACCACCCCCCCCCCCCACACCACCCCCCCACACACCGCCCCCCACCCTCCCCCCCCCACCCCCCCCCCCCCAAAAAACATGTCTACCGTCCCATTCAACGAAATATAATTATATACTTTTTCCAGTGTCCGCCCCCTCCCAGAAAATTCTACCCCCGCCCCCGAAAAT